AAGTCTACAACTTTGGATGGCCAATGTTGAAAATGCAGTCCAATTCCTTACCTTGATGCCCAGGAATGTTATCAGTTAAATAGGTGAAACAAATCTGAATCCTGGTCACCAACATCTGAGGACTTACTGAAGACAAGATCCTGCCACATCTTGTCAACTTTACGATCTATGGACCTGCCATGCTCCCATCCGGATGCTGGCTGGGGAATTCTGGGAGTTGCAGTCCACACATCTTAAAACTGCTGAGGTTGAGAACCACTGACCTAGTGTTGCTATGGGAGGAGTCTCCTATGCGCAACCACAGACATGACGCCCAGAGACCACGCTAAAAAAAACCTCCCTTTCCTGCTGCAAAGAAGCTTTCGATACTATCTGGGAAATGACCCCAAAGACAGATGAACAGTCATGATTTCTTTGCATAACTTCAAAAAAGCAGGCTTAAAACAAACCTTGCATTGGGAAGGACTACAAACGTATGCCAACATGAGTGCAAAATCTGAGACACCTGATTAAAGTTATCCTAGCAAAATAAATAAACAAGTGAAGCAAAAAAACAGACAAGAGGGGAAAATCAAAATCAAAATCAGGACATTTGTAGAGAATGTTTACCTGGAGAGCATCCAGATAGTTACCATAGAACTGATTTCTCTGTTTCTTGGCGTAATCTCTGCTGCTACCCCAAAATAGACCATCTTGCAGGACTTTATGTGCTTTGAACATGCACACATGCGCACACACCAACACACACATACAATCCATTTAGGATTTGCTGCAACAGGCAATGTTGTTCTTGGAACCCGCAGCTGCCTCGGATATTATCAAATAGTCGGCCCTTCCTCTTGCATGACACACAGCCAACGGTTGCCTGGCTGTGTCCACAAACAGAGAAGGCTTGCGGTCATCCCTGGGCATCAGGAGCAGTGCATAGAGGCTCTCTCCCTTCCTGGCTGCCCCCTCCCCATGTCCCCCTTCCCTCTCAGGGCCCCTCTGGGCACAGGTGGGTGGACAGCTCGAGGTGCCCACCTTTGGACTCTCTTTATGCCAAAGAAGAGGCTCTTTTTGACCAGCCCAGCTGACCCTTCACTGTAACTTTGCTGGCCATTCCTACACTTAGATAGGCTTAGTTGGGTATTTATACACACGGGCAACCTCACCCAAGTTAACAGCATTCCTACACTATTGAGTCAAACGTCTCTCTCTGCAACTGGGGGGGGGGGAGAGAGAGAGAGCGTGTGGGTTGAGCTGCATTCTTGAAAAAGGACAAAAGCACATTTAGGTTTTTAAAACAGAGCCCAAGGTTTCATTCCTTTTAAAGCCGATTTCTTTTGTGTTTACCCAAGTTTTTGCTGTGCAGCTGCACCTTGAAATGAGCAAGCCAAGAAAATCTTACAGAGCAAGAGGCAGCAGTTTCATGCCTCTGATCTGTCCAGGGAAGTTTTTGGGCCTCGCCAAGCAAAGGAAAGGAAACCAGCATGGGCTGCAGACAGCTTCCATGGGGCCACTCCCTTCCCTGGTCGGGCCCCCTTTCCATAATAATGCCTTTTGCACATCAGCTGCCCCATTAGAAAAGCATTTAACATCTAGGAAGAGCTTTTCCCAGGGCTTGTTTTAAACAACTGGGCTCCTTGGGGGTTCATGGAATTCCATTTGAAGAAATACTCTGCATTTGTGGAACACCAGTCAGGGAAGACCTGGAGCACCAAGAAAAACTGTCTTACCTTTTGCCAGGAACAAACCTGCATGTCACTAGTAAGACTAAACTCTTTATTTCAAAGACCATTTAGTTCAGACTGGGTTTAATTGTAGGGGTGACAACTTATTATGAACATGTTCTACTGTTTTCTTTGTATTTCTTTGTATGTTTGTATTAGTTTTATATTTTTAGTATGGTCAAATGACTATATTATAGTATATAGTATATCAATAAAGATCCTATTCTATCCTATAATTCTATTTTATTCTGTTCTGTTCTATCCTGTCCTGTCCTATCCTATCATTCTATTCCATTCTGTTCCGTCCCATCCCATCCCCTCGTTATTCCAGCACATGAAACCTTACACTACAGTTCTTCATACCCTGATTTCCCTAGTAGTAACTGCACCATGTCCCACAGTGGGCCTTACAGCTGAGGGAGCAAGCGCAGGAACGTTTTCACACCAAAGCCTTTAGAGTACTTACATCTTTCCCTCCCACCTTGCACTACAAGAATTGCCTCTGTCTCCCACTGCCCAGCAGTTGTTGGAGTCACCTGGGCTTTCAGGTAGAGCCTCCTTAAAAAAGCAGCATACAAGCAAGGACGTGATATATGGCGGTTGCTGTTTTACAAAACAGCACCAGTCGACCTTTTTGGCTTTGGACACTAAAATGCTTTCAGCACTCCTTGGTTACTCACAAACAGCTTGGCAGAGGGCATTTAAGGCAAATCAGTCCCTCACCCTTCCAAGAAGCCACTGCTAAGATTTAGGTTACAGTTTGACAACAGAGATTTCTGCAGGACTTAACTACGGTTTGTAAAAACAAGCGAGTTCTACTGTGTTCCAAGAATGAGGCTTTGGCCGCTGAGTTTTTTGAGGCAGAAATAAGGCAACTTTGTTCTTGTCCTGCTTTAAGCATGAAAGCCGGCTGGGTGACCCTCCGCCAGACATTTTCACCCAACCCAGCCCACCTCACAGGGATGTTATTATGGGAAATTAGGAGGAAGGTGCGGAATATGTTAGTTGTAAAAATTATAAAGGCAGGATATAAATAAATAAAAAATTGCTTAAAATGGTAAAATGCAAGCTTTTCTTTACTTTCTTTTTACCTGTGATGCAGGAGACTGTTCAGGGTCCAAGGCACTCCTCAATTTTTTCTTTATTTATTACATTTATATAAGACATAGAAAAAAATGAAACAGAAAAATATAGATGAGGAAAGTGCTCAGATTTGCAGATGACACCAAGCTGGGGGGAACAGCTAACACTAAGCAGGATAGATTCAAGATTCAGAAGGATCTCAATGGACTTGAACCCTGAGCCCTATCCAACAACAGGCAATTCAATGGTGAGGAAAGTAAGGATTTAAAAAACAAATGGACAGGTATGGAAGGCTCAGCAGCGGTAACTGTGAGAGGGATCTTGGAGTCCTAGTGGACAATCATCCGTGAGCCAGCAATGGGAGGCAGCTGCCAAAAACCCCCATGCAATCCTAGGATACATCCACAGAGGGGTTTAGTGTCAAGATCGCATGAAGTATTGTTCCCGCTTTATGCTGCCTTGGTGAGACCACAGCTGGAATTCTGCATCCAGTTCTGGTCACCATACAAAAAAAGATGCTGAGACTCAAGAAGGAGTGCAAAGAGCAACAGAGAGGATAAGGGGCCTAGAAGCCAAAGCGCCCAGTGAATGGCTGAGGGAGGCAGCTGTGTCTACTTTAATAAGGAGAAGACTGGGGGGCCATCACAGTCCTCCAGCATTTGAGGGGTTCAACCTCTTCTCCAGAGCACCTGAAGGCAGGGAAACTAACCAAGGAGAGAAGCAGCCTAGAAGTAAGGAGACATTTCCTGACAGAACAATTCATCAGCAAAATGTCGGCTTCCCTCCTGAAGTTGTGGGTGCCGTTTGTCTAAAATGATAGGGCCTCCCGCTTGCGCACTGGGTTGGACTAGAAGATCTCCAAGGTCCCTTCCAACTAACTCTCTTATTCGATATGCCCCCCGTCCCGCCTAGAGGCCTCCTGCCTTCCAAGTCCTCCTCGCTTCTCAGCTGAGGCACCTGCAGCTTTCGGCCGAGTCTCTCCCTGGAGCGGACGCCACCCGATTCCCTTTTTCCCCTCGGTTTGGGCCCCCGCAGCTAAGCCCCGCCCCCGCCTCTCGGCCCCGCCTCCCTCCCCGCCTCCCCAGGCTCCTCCCTCCGGCCGGCAGCGCCGGGGGGGCGCCGGGGGGGGGCTTCGGGTTTCCGTCCCTGGTTATTAATAACGCCGCCTCGCCTCCTCTCGGGGCAGCCGCGGCTCGAGGCGCCCGTGCCGGGGCGGCAGGTAGGCAGCGCCCGACGGCCGGGGGGCTGCGCGGGGGGCTTCGGGGGCGCTCGGAGGGCCCCTCCCGCTCCGGGGCTCGCCAGGCAGGGGCGGCGGGGGGCGGGGCTCTTGGACAACTTGCGGCTGGAAAAGGCGCTGCCCGACTCCCGCCGCGCCCCGCCGATCGGCCGGGAGCTGCCGGGGCGCTTCGGGACGAGCTGCAGAGCGGCGGGGGCGGCCGGGGGCCCGAGCGCCGGGTGTGGCTCCCGGGAAGCAGCCCTTCGCCTGGGGGAGCCGCGGGCGGGCGGGCGGACCGGGGAGACGGTGCCGGGGGAAGCGGCCTGAGACGGGGAGCGGGCGGGCGGGGCGCGCGCGCGATAGTCAGCCCAACACCCCCCCCCCCGCCGCCCTCTTTCTCTCCCGGGCGCAGCGGAAGGCGAGACCTGTTGCCGGCGCCCTCGGCTCCCGCGCCCGGCCCGCCGCTTGGCCCGACTCCCTCCTGCCCGGGTCGACTCGGCGGCTGCCGGGCGGGGAGGGGGGCGCCTGGTCCGGTCGCTCGGCGGGCTCGGCTCTCCTCCTCCTCCTCCTCCTCGGCCGCCCGCCTGCAGCAGCCGGAGCTCAGCCTCCCTGCCAAGCGCTTCTCGGCTCTCCAGCCCGGAGAGCTCTTGGCTGTGGCCGTCGTGCGGGGCTCGGTCGCTGTGCGGAGCGGCCTGGCTGATTCACCGAGGCCGCGTTTCGGGAATCGGTGAACTCTCGCCGGCAGGTCGAGCCTGCTTTAAGCCCGACTAAGCTGCTCAGATTGGTCGGTCCGATGAAACCCCTTGTTCCGGAACGTGATCTCCCTTTTCACTGCTAAATGTTTCATTTGTTCCATTCATTCCTACGTGCTTGTTACTTACCAAATGACATCCCGTAATTACAACTCCTCCTGGCTTCCCTGCTCGCAGGTACGTCCTCCTCCCGACTCACTTCCCCACTCGTGGCTAGTGCCGTTCTCTGGATTGCCAAAACCGTTTCCCTCTGAACCAGGAGCCGAATGTAGGGCATCATAGTGGATTTGGAGTCAGTAAAAAAAGTGGTTTGGCTTTGCGGTGTCCCCTGAGAGAGAAGGGAGCCAGTGAGTTTCTGTCACGCATGAATTACAGTCAAGTTGAGATGGGACAGAAAGGATGGAAGAGGACGAAAATGAAGGCAAACGGGGAGAAGAGAAACAACCCTGTCTTTGTTCTGTCCACTTTGGGTTAATCCCACTGTGGGCAAAGGGAGGACTAGAAGAATATGGAAAGAAATGCAAACACTTTGGGAAGTGGAAGTTGCATACATTTGGCAGAAAAAACCAGCATAAATTGGAGGGTGCTTAAATATTTGGAATTACATAAACACTGACTCAGGTTTCCAAAACCTGGCACTGTCCAGATATACTGAGATTAAAATTTGCTGGATTCCTAGCCAGCAATGCTAAATAAATCACATAACATCTTAGAGCCACTAATGGGTTGGATCAATATTTATTTTAAAAAAATGTTGCCAAGTAAGGAGAACTACACTTTTGTGTCTCAGGCACCAAAATACTTTCAGTTGTGCTAATTTATGTCACTTTTCTGCTTGGAGTCGTCCTACACAAGATGGGCTGAGTGACTACATAAACATTTAAAGCAACTGCCCATATTTTTCCACATAAAGATTCTGACCTCAAAACAGCTGCTGATGTTTATTGGCAGAAGAGGAACTGCCAACGCCTCAGACAAAAGGTCTCTCCTATTATACCAGGGTTAAGAGCCCCAGCAGAGTGGATGCCACGCTGCAAATCAAAACTCAATGCTCACAAAAAGGAAAGGATGTTTATTTGAATAAAAACTTAGGAAAACAGCCACATCCTTGCATGAGGCTTAACTGGCCACCAGTGAGCGCTGGCAGTCCTTGAGCTGAGCAAAGCGACAGACCCAAGTAGAAGCAGAGTTAAAACTCTCAAAAACTATAATGTAAGGCCTGTATTGTCCCTACCCAGTTCATCCGGGATCTCCTAAGTAAGCTGGTCTCTGCTTCTAAAGTCCCTGGCCCAAAAGCCCCCCCTCCTGCCTCCTCCTGGGAAGAGGAAGGGTGGGATATTTACAGTCCCTGCTAGCCTGCAGATTCGTGGGCTGCTTTGATGCACAAAAACACTTTTCTAGGGAAAAAATAATGCACATTTAATCCTTGACTTACAACCACAACTGGGACCAGAAATTCTGTTGCTAAGCAAGGTGGCTGTTAAGTGAGGCATGCCTGATTCTGCGGCCTTTTTTGCCCCGGGGGTTAAGCAAATCCCAGAAGTTGTTCAGCGAATCACGTGGTCATTAAGCAAATCAGGCTTCCCCCGTTGACTTCGCTGGTCTGAAGATGGCAGAGGGAGATCAGGCGGAGCCCAGGGAGACCCTGCACCGCCGTGAGTCCCTTGCTGGTCGTGAAGCACCGAGGGTTGGGTCATGTGACCCTGGGGATGGTGCAAGGGTTGTAAGTGTGGGGATGGGTGGTGTGTTTCTTTTTGTAGCTTCACATGGGTGCTAAACGAATGGTTACAAGTCGAGAATTACCTGTGCCCTGCTCTCCTGTCCTTCTCATATTCGTCTCTAGTGCCGCTGACTGTTAAAGACCCACCGGCATCGGCCGGTGAAGAAGGCAACCCAGAGAGAGCTTAGAAAAGGAAATTCTTCCGTTTGTTTTTCTAAGCCCACGTGCTGTCTAAAGGAAGGCCAGATGAGTGGCATATAAGTGGACTAAATAAACTATAGACAAATGAATAAAGGTCACATACTTGTGTTTCTGTGGCAGGCACCCACGCCGGGGTTGGCGTTGTTTTACGCTTTCCCCAGACTAACTTGTTAGGAAGTACTTAAGACATTCTGCCTGCCCCGTCTCTCCTCTGCATTAGGCCCTTCCTAGAAACTGAAAAGTTAATTGGTCTGCTGAGAACTTTCCCTGTTCCAGGATGATGACATGTTGAGGCTGTGCAGATGATGGCTTAGAGCATCAAATAATATGGTGGCTGTTTTGAGCTTTGTGGGGAAGGGATCAGGAAGGGGCCCCAGGATGCAAGGCCAGCCTCTTGGCCGGTACATTCAGAAAAAAGGATTTCAGTTTTTAAAGTGCTGTAATTCAAAGCAGAATTGCTGGGAAAGAAAGCTTTCCATTCCCTTTCAAATTCTCCTTTCCTAAACGATGCCCTCAAAAGTCCTTTTATGGCAGGATTTAATGTCTTTAAATCCCCCTTTCCTTCTCTATTTGCAGTACAGAGCCAGGGCATCCATTTGGCACGAGGACGTGCCTCTTTCCCCAGATCTGATTCAGTTTCCTCTCTATTTCCAGGGAAGAGATGGCAGATTTTGAGCTTCCAGTGGAGCAGGATAGTGAAGAAGCCTCGGATATTGCCGATGCAGAAGCCCTGCCAGAATTTAACCAAGAAAATGTCTACACGGACCCCATTAGCACTCAATTCCCACAAAATCCAGAAATTGCTGGGGCCTCTCTGGGGCTTCAGGGTTCCGTGACTTGCCAAGACTTGTCTGCCGCTGAGAGCCAACATGCGGACCTGGAAGATCTCGGCGAACGTTTCCAGCAGTGCATTGAAGCAGTGGAGCAGCTGGAGGAGGAGAGGGACTGGCTCATTAAGGAACTCACACTCTTACGCCAGCCGGCTCTTGAGGAACTGCAGCGGGCCCACAAAGAGGTTCTGGAAGCCTACAGGCTCCATGCCAAAGTAGAGCTAGAGAAGGATAACCTGTGGGATGAGATTCGACAGGTGAAGCGGAAGCTATTTAGGGTGACGCGGGAATGCGTGGCGTGCCAGTATCAGCTGGAAGCCAGGAGGTATGAAGTCGCTCAAGATGTGGATTACCAAAGAGAGCTGGAAAACAGAGCCAGCCAGCTCTCAGAAGAGCTGTCCCAGTTGAAAGAGACTTATGAGGCAGAGAAGGAACATTTTAGGCAGAGGCTGAAGGCTCCACGCCACGAGGGGAGCAGCCGTCACCTCCAAGAGAGCCGGCGGTTTTCCATGGAATTTGAAAGTTTTGTCCTGGAGAACCGTCAGTGCTTGGAGGAGCATTACGAACCGAAGCTGATGCGCCTCCTGGAGAGGAGAGAAGCCAGCAGCAAGGCCTTGCAAACCACCCAGAGCGAAGTCCACAGGCTGAAGGAGACCCTGAGGCCGTTGCAGGGAGAAGTCAGCAAGTTGCTACTGCAAAACAGGAACCTGGAGGAACAGATTCTGCTGATCAGGCAGAAACGCGATGAAGAGGTCCTGCAATACAAGGTAAGCCTTAGGACCTCCACCCACTCTCTTCTGGTTAGCTGCTGGGCCACGGGATGCAGCGCTTGCCCAGAAAGGTAGCTCAGCAGGGCAAAAGGAGTTTTGAGCTAAACTCGATCATGGAGGGACAAGAATGTTGGGCTGCTGGCTGCAGGTGAGTGAATCAACTGGTTAAAAAGAAAAAAAAAACACTTTAAGAAGAACATTAGCTTTGTGTGTTGTCAGGCTCAAACAACCAGACCCATGCGGGGTTCAAACTACTTACTTTATTGTTCTCTGCCCATAATACAGAATCTCCCAGTCTGACAGCTTTCCTCCGGGAAAGGCCAGATCAGCCTCCAAGGCATTTGTGGGAGGGCCAGACTGGCTGCCAAATGACAAAGGCACTGAAAAAAGTTATCACCAGCCCTCAACATTGACCACCTGGGCAGCATCACCAGTCATGTGATCAAAATTTGGAGGTTTAGCAACTGGCATGTATTTGTGATGAAGTGTACCATGATCATTTGATCACCCTTTGTGATTTTCACAGCTGGATTCTGACAAGCCAAGTTATTGTGGGAAGCTTGGTTTGCTTAACAGCATACTTCACTGAACTGTGGCAAAAAAGGTCATAAAATCAGATAGGACTCTATTAATAACTGCCTTGCATAGCAACACGATCCCAACTCTGGTTGCAAGTTGAGGATTACCTGTCCTTTTTTGTTTCCAGGAGCAAGTGGAGGAGATGGAAAACAGGATACGGGAACTGAAGACTGGAGTTCAACTTCAGCAACGAAAGAACCAAGAATTAGAAGAACTGAAAGCCAGTTTACATCAAGAACTGTCCATTTACAAGTAGGTTTCATTTCTTTGATCAGTATCCGCGTAAAAGCAAAATAAGGAAGAAAACACCATTAATAGAGAAGGGCTTGAAAATTGGAGCCAGAAGTCTTGATTTCCTATTTTTACTATCTTTGTACTTCGCTTCCTGGCCTTTGGGCTATGAGTATAGCCTAAGAGCCCCTCTTACTATACGAAGAGTGTAGCATCTTGCTCTGTACAGAATATTTAGAAAAACCATAGTATAATTAGCATATGATCTAATTATTTTATGTATACAGACGGGGTTTTTTTTGTACAATATTCAAATTATAGCAAATAAAGATATCCTGCTTTGATATGGTTAGATAACTTTTCCTACTGTCAAGTTTCATTCTAAGTAGGATCTAGAGTTTATGTTCAAGGCACCCCAAGAGCAAATGTTATTTTGCAATATGTTGTCTTTTGTAACATAGAACTGATGTAGCTGCGTAACCCATTCTCCATTCTCACAGAGGCTGCTTAGAAATGTACGGGCAACTTTGCAAATCGGAAGTGAAGCAAGATGAAGACTGAATCTACACACGGCCGTCTTTCCTCCTCCTTGCAAATAGGGGCTCCGTCCGACTAATAGCAACTAATAAGCAAGATTTCTCGGATGAGTTTGCATTTTTACTGTGTCAAAAAGGAACACGTTTTTTGAGATGTGGCCATTATGAGATCTGATGTTAACAGGGCACCAGATAAGCATTACCACAATGGCATGTCAAAACCTTTGTCAGTATTTAATTTTCTGTATAAAACTTGGCTTATGAATAATGAAATGAGCTTTTTGTAGACTTGCAATGTATGTTGTTGTTGTTGTTAATTGCGAAGTCGTGTCCGACCCATCGCGACCCCATGGACAACGTTCCTCCAGGTCTTCCTGTCCTCTACCATCTTCTGGAGTCCATTTAAGTTCACACCTACTGCTTCAGTGACTCCATCCAGCCATCTCATTCTCTGTCGTCCCCTTCTTCTATTGCCCTCAATCTTTCCCATCATTAGGCCCTTCTCCAGTGAGTCCTTCCTTCTCATTAGGTGGCCAAAGTATTTGAGTTTCAACTTCAGGATCTGGCCTTCTAAAGAGCAGTCGGGGTTGATCTCTTCTAGGACTGACCGGTTTGAACGCCTTGCAGTCCAAGGGACTCGCAGGAGTCTTCTCCAGCACCATAGTTCAGAGGCCTCAATTCTTTGGCGCTTAGCCTTTCTTATGGTCCAACTTTCACAGCCATACATTGCAACTGGGAAAACTATGGCCTGGACTATACACACTTTTGTTGGCAGGGTGATGTCTCTGCTTTTTAGGATGCTGTCTAGATTTGCCATAGCCTTCCTCCCCAGGAGCAAGCGTCTTTTAATTTCTTGGCTGCAGTCCCCATCTGAGGTGATCTTGGAGCCCAGAAAGATAAAATCTGTCACTACCTCCATTTCTTCCCCATCTATTTGCCAGGAATTGAGAGGGCCGGATGCCATGATTTTGGTTTTCTTAATGTTGAGTTTCAAGCCAACTTTTGCACTCTCCTTCTTCAACCGCATCAAGAGGCTCTTTAGTTCCTCTTCACTTTCTGCCATTAGAGTGGTATCATCTGCATATCTTAGGTTGTTGATATTTCTCCCGGCAATCTTAATTCCAACTTTTGTTTCATCTAGCCCTGCCTTTCTCATGATGTGCTCTGCATATAAGTTAAATAGGCAGGGCGACAGTATACAGCCTTGCCGGACTCCTTTTCCAATTTTGAACCAATCAGTGGTTCAATGTATGTTACTAAGAAACAAATTCAATCAAACATTCTTCATACAACAACTGCTTTCCTGTGCAAGGAGTCCTCAGAAAAAAATCAGGTCCAATCACACGATGCCTCAATCTATGACCACAACGATGTACAATTGTAGTTCCAGTCTCAGTTATGTTAGTAACTCAAGGAGTATCTGTATTTCCTAAGAAACCTAGAAAACAAACTTTTCCATAATACATTGTTTGGTAAAAATTCTGTACCTGTTCAAGTGAAGAAAAAAAGACAAGTCACATTCTACATAAAAAAATGAATTTTATTTCACTTGAATTTTTTTTACAGGGTTCATGAAGTTATACTGGCTGCTGGTGAAAGTTAAATCCACACAGCAAATATTTTGAGGCAAACTGAACTAATTTCATCATTCTTTATTATGTAGTTGTTACCAGTGTTCAGTTCCAGGAAGTGGGTGCAAGGTCTGTGATGTATCATTCAGCTGAAACACCTTTTACAACTTGGTCTCCCAAGTTAAAAAAACAAAAACAATTAACAAGAAATGAAAGATAAAACACATTTCAAGAGACAGCCAAGCAATGTGCAGATGTATAGGCTATCACTATATTATATTCATATCCTAACATCCTAAGATGCCTTATTGGAAAATGATAGAGGGAACAAGATGTTACAGAGAAACCTAGGAAAAAAGTCTCACTGGCAGCAGCTAGAGGCAAGAAGGAGAATTGATGAACCTGTATTGGATTTATCCACACCAAGAAGTTGATGATTAGAGAACAAAAGTAACTCCAACTCTTTTGTTGGAGGGCACCAAAAGTATTTATAAGAGAATCGCCCCTGCACTTAAAATTCAATCAACACTTGTATTGCAACAGTATGAGCATACCTAGTATTGTTTTTTTTTTTAAAAAAAAAAAACACAAATCAATCTTATAAGTTGTGGAAACAGATATTCACACTAGCATAACTAACAAATTCTTTAGAAGAGAAATGGTCAAAAAAGGCCAATCTGTCAACATTCAACAGCAACCTTTTACATTCTCAGATGAACAGCATTCACAAATGAGCTGCTGAATGCAGTGTGTGAGTTGTTTCTCCCAAATGTTGTCAATGTTAAGATAGTTAGAAAAGGCAGGAAGAGGACAGGAAGAGAAATAAGAAAAGGGGCCAAATGTCTAGGATCCTTGCCCTTCTGGATCCACACTTCCTTCAGGATCTTCATCATTATATATGTTCTCAGCCTACAACAGGAGATGAATAGAGAAATACTGATTTGATGGGCAAAGCATACCAATTCTGAAGGCAATTGTTAACCATTCTAGTAGAAGAGAATATAGCTCAGAGTTGAACTACAGTGACCTTGGTGCTCTCTGAGCTTGGTGGCTTGTTTGCAGACAGTTCATTGCAATTCACCTTGATGTTATCTACCGTGCTACCCCAAAAATAAGACCCTTATAAGGTTGTATTTTTGTTTTGGCCTCCAAAAGAGGCACCAGGTCTTATTTTCAGCACCGGCAGCCCTGCCCACCTTCTGGAAAGGCCTCTGACTGCGAAATGCAGGATGAAGCTGCTCTTTCGGCCGCAGAAGAGGTGGGCTGTCGATCCATGGGAGGCCTGGCTGCAATGGTAAGCTCCACACCCCCACCTGATTTTTAGGTGTGCCCCTTGCCCCAAAACTAGGGCTTATTTGGGGGGTAGGGCTTATAATGGGCCCATCCAAAAAAAACAAGCTAGGGCTTATTTTTTTGGGAATGCCTTACTTTGGGGAAAACATGTAGTTTACCCAATGAAGTAACATTAGTACGAAGTGCAATGAAACATCTGCAAAAAAGACACCAAGCTCAGAGAGCACCAAAGACTCCACAATTCACTGACAGGTTAATGTTTAAGCAGTTTCAATATGCAATATTGTTTACGTGTTTTATCGTAAGGATTCTATTACTCTTTCCTCAAATACCTTGTAAGGTGATAGATTCCTTTCATTAGCATAAGGCAACTTTCAACAAGCATACCCTAGAATGTCACATCTTGTATACAGAGACATTGCCACAATATCACTACTTCTGGAGTCAACATTGTTCAAGCAAGGAATGACTAAAGATTACAAACTAACAAAAGTAATGGAACAGTCATTTAAAATCTGCATTTTGGCTTAGCCTTAAAATAATCAAATACTTACCATCTGCCACACTTGCATTATATTGTCTTCTGATACAGAACAAATTACCCAGGGTTCATTGGGATTCCAGGAGAAGTCAGATATCTTTGCAGTGTGACCCCCATGAATGAACTAATACCAAAAACAAGAGACAGTGACATTAATACACAATAGCAATGGAGCGTACCATCAGAAACAAACTTTATAAAATCCAAGAGACTTGCCCATATAAAATGTATTAATCTTTAATACTTACTTCTAAATATATAAGCTTTTAAAAGCACATTCTAGAATTCCGTAAAATACTAGCCTAGCAATAAAGTTGCTGGAGTTTTCTATTTTAAATTACATGGACATAAAAAGTCGACATGTGCAAAACTTATGGGAGGAACTGAACTTTTAGACTCCAGAATAATTTCATTGCTTCTCCAAATCACTCCATTTTTGGTATGGCCCAGTGGTTTTTCAGAACTTGTTCCTCAAAATCAAAATGGATTATTATGGTATTCTGTAAGACTGGGGACAGATCATGGAAAAGCACTATGAATCGCTTATGTTTTGAGGATTAAATTCTTGGAAATCAGAGGACAAACCAAGGTGGACCAGACTGATACAACCTGGAGGAGAAATGTTACTCAATATCACATTTTTTGCAGTCTCAAGAGTTAACTACAGGGAATATGAACAAGCGGTGTTCGACCATACCTTTCACCTTATTTTATTACCTCTTTGTAGATTTGGAAAGCACATCCCAGGACAAAATAGATTACAGAAAGTGGCAAAAGCAAAAAGTTGTTCAGTCAGACGGACTCTGGAATTTTTGGGTAAAAAATGAAGGGGGGGGGGATCATTTCAAACGGAGAAGTAGCAGATACCATTGTGGCAAGATTAAAGTAGGAAGGATCCTTGGTGCTCTCTGAGCTTGGTTGTTTTCCTGCAGATGTTTTATGGCCCAACTAGGTAACATTATCAATACTAGTAAGGAGTGGGATTTGCTCAGTTTACTTTCTCGTGGCTGGCCCTGCCAGTATTGGTGGGAGGGTGTCCTAGAGGCTCAATTGGGTTTGCTTGGCAGTTCCTTGACTGGGCTTACTTGACTGTTGGTCCAATATTAATCCTGGAGTTAAATCTATGTTCGTCTGGATGCTGATTGTTGGCGAGGATCTTTTTGTTCCCTTTTTGGCTTGTTGATTGTCTCTTTGCATAGTGTATATATATTTTTTAATATCTGTGTATCTATTGATGGCTAATGTGTCGTGTCAGAATGTCAAGCTTCTAGAAATTCCCTAGCATTTTTGGACTTGGCTTGGTCTCGGTCAGAATTTCCCAATTGAAACTATGGTTAGGTCAGTCCATATGCTGCAGAATTAAAGAGTTTTCCCCATGTCTTCTGACTGCTAGTTGGCATTCATGGATGCATTTTGCCAGTCTTCTGTTTGTCCTACTTAGCGGCTGTTGCAGTCAGTACTCTGCATGTTGTAGATGGCTCCTGTTTCTTCTTCTGGGGCTGCTGGGTCTTTTGGTTAACTTAGGATGTTTGGAAAGCTTTAGTTGGCTTGTGTGCTACACTGATTCCATGTGGTTGTAGTAGTCTGTTGGTAGTTTCTGAGATGTTCTTGATGTATGGCAGTGTTATTTTTTTTAGGACTTGTATTGGTTGTGCTGTATTAGGTTGAGTGCCTGAGTAGATTAAAGCACCCACTTACCAGCAATTCAGGTGGACCATCTTCTGCATCCTCGGGAGATTGCTCTTCTCCGATTTTACTAGAAAAGAAGACGCTGCATTATATGAAAACCATTCCTGATAAAACTTACATACATATCATTACATTAATCGGATGCTTACCTCAAATCCCAGACATTCAGTCGGCGATCAGTACCACTGGAGGCCAAAATGGTTTCATTATGTGGTGACCACTGAACCTGAGGAGTAAGATGATGCAAAACACATTGTTGTACTACAGGCACTCCTCACTTAATGACAACTTGGAACAGCTCCATTGCTAAGTGATTAAGTGAGGCATGTGACCATGATGGACTTATGGTGCTTTAATTGTAGAACTTTTGAAAGGTCTTCTTAAAGACGCCCAACTTGTCAAAGGCTCAAGAGCAAACCATTCCATAACCATTACATGAATTACCTGAAATATTTCATCTTTATGTGACTCAAAGGAATGCAGCTTTAGTTTCAAGTTTCTCAGATCCCACAATGCAACAGTCTGTCCAGGAAGATCAAAACACAGGGTGACAAATTAAAACATTTGCCCTTTACTTCATGTAGTGAATATTGTGCAATCATATGTTCAATACCTCTCCAATAATACCAAGATGCCCTATGTAATAGGCTGATCCGAAAGACCCCTTAACGGAAACCATGACTTTAAAGGCAAAACACTATACATAATTCTAGCTAGGTACCTGATCGGCTGATCCTGTAGCCAGAATGAACTCGCTGTAAGGATTGAAAGACAGGCAGTTCACTTCAGCAGTGTGAGCATCCACCGAATGGCTTGGTTTGGAAGTGTTGTTTGAGCGGGTGTCCCAGCTTAAAAAAAGAAAAGAAAAAGAAAAGAAAGCAATTCAGTTTGAAAAACTGGTTCTGATAGGATAGTAATATATTCATCACTGTGTGATTAACAAAACCCTCTTTTTTAAATAAAAAAAATAATAATCAGAAATTCAGTTTGAGATAAAGGATACTGCTTTGCTTACATCATGAGTTTCTGATCATCAGCAACAGATCCAAAAAGAGATTCGTGGAGCAAATGCCAGGAAACATCCTCCACCACAGCTGTATGACCAGTGAAGATAGTTTTAGCATCCACCACTTTCCCTTCCTTTGGAACAGCACTTATGTCCCACAAGCAAATAGTCTTAAGACAAGAAGGAGAGAAAGTGTGTTTTGTTAGGATAATTTATCTGGCAATTAATACATGAAATGGGATGTGCTAATTAAGCAAATAATTACTCACATGATCGTCAGATGCACTTAGCAAATGTCCACTAAGATTTGGATTCCAAGAAAGACCATAACCTTCTTTTTGATGCCCACGAAGACGCAAATCTGGATTGCATTCCCCAGAAGGATCTACAAAGAAAGCAGCAACTGAGCAAAAGCACAAATGTAATAAAATAATAATCATTGCTTCTCATTTTTTAAAACATTTAATACTAGGGAATTGCAAATAACAACCACGTAACTACTGTGAAAAAGTGTCAGCTTTAACTCCAACCTGATTCAAAATTAAGAAAACTTGACTGTCTAGTTGAACTACATAATTAAACTGTTACTCAAAATCCTTCCTTGGTAAAACACTATCATACATTTTTCCTACTTGCCCGAATGCATAAATGTTACTTTTAATTAATTTTTAACATTCAAATAGTGATTATCTGGCATATAACATTCTTAGGATTATATTTCCAAAAAGGAGATGAAAGACATGAAACTCGGCAAAAACCTGGTTTAGATGGATGTTTCGTATAATCAAATACAAGAACATCACTGGATGGAGTTTTTGTAGCAATAATGCAAGGATTCTGAGGCATGTAGCGGGCTCTATTCACTTCTCCTTCATGGTTGATCTTTATTTCTATTTCAATTTTTCCACTAACAGATCCAAAGCCACCAAATTCTGGAAATAAAGAAAGTTTATAAACTCTTCTTTGTTGCTGATCATAGGATATGAATTCGGAACAGAAATATAAAAGATAATGCAATAACACTCTACAACAGTAAATATTTAAACTCTGGAAACTACTATTGTGGTTACAAACCGTGCTTAAGTAAATGTGACATTAAAAGCATTTATCTAAAAAAAATACACATTTCATATTTATAGTGTTACACATTTTCTATCAGCTCATTATCAGATGTTCATCATGTACCTAATGGAAACCAAAATTTTAAACCATTACAATAAAACAAAACAAGATGGGGACTGCCAATTACACAAGCTATGCTTTAAACAACAGGTCTAAACCTTTAACTAAAAATGTAATTTTTCTCTTACCTCCCTTTTCACTATCATAATGTGAGGCATCAAACTGGGCATCGTCATTGGGGAGCTGGACACTGGCTATCACAAGGTGATTTTGCTCATCAGAAGTATGGGTCCCTAGAACTAGCCGGTGAATACTGAAATCTTTGCCTTCAGGTCTGTAATATCATTAAAAATGAGATTGAGTTGAACTTAAAAGAGCTGTGTAATAGTATATGGCCTGACTCAGAGAAGGCCAAGGCATTACAGAAAAGGTATACGAGTCCCAGGAATGTGAGAAATAAATTCAAACAAACCTCACTTTGATTAGTTTAGCATTAAGATGAATTAAAGAGGGGTTTTAGATAGCTTCCTGCTACAACATCCTAATTATATAAAATCCTGTCTGAAGACACCACATGATTCCTGTTTCTTGACTAGGCCTACCTTTAAGATTTGACCATTATTTTCCCAGGACAGAGTAACAGCTACATTTTAGATTTTGTTTTTGCCAAACACAACACATCCATAATGGTTTAGCAAAATTTGTGGAACAAGATTTATTCTGATTTAAAATAGGTTTTACTTGTTGTGCTCACCCCTATTTATTATATGTTGATAAACAGCTGCAAAAGAAAATTAAAAGTATGGTGAGGACTACTGTGTGCATTTAAGTCTTATCCCCGATATGCACGTCAGAATTTTTGGCACTTTGAGATAATCGGAGCAAGGTCTTTAAATTTATGCTAAATGCTGCTTATAGCTATTCTTCCAGCATGTTTACCCAGAAATCTCACTTTGTTCAATTCTTAGAGAATTACCTGGTTACATCAGGAAGCCACTGAGCAGTCAAGCTGGGCCATTCTAAGGCATGTGTCATTACAAGATCATAAAGAAAGGGAGTATTCTTTTTCCATATTTTATATTCTTCATTGATTACTCGTTCCTCCACTGCATCATCAAAGGCAGCTAAAATATAACATGTGCAATTCAATTAATTTTATAGTTGCATGAAAACAAATTATTAGTAAAACAAACTATTCAGGATATGAGATAAAAGGGAAAAGGTTACTTTTTATACATCATAAAAGTATTTATCTGATTTTATACTCACAAGCTTATCAGGAAATGAGAACATCTAATAATTAAACATGAAATCCTTACTGCATAGACCTTACTATTGGCTCGGTAATTATCACTGATGCACACCATTTTTTGGTTGTTAGCAATTATTTCTCACAGTATCAATATTAAAGTTTCAAGTCTGCAGGCAGTCCTTTTCCACAAGGCAGAGTACACCACCAGAGGGATCAAACTGTCATTTGTTTTCTTTAATGCTTCAAAAGAAAACCCAGTTCCGGCGTGCAGTGCAACGAGTTACTCCGCTTCAGATTGCTTCAGCCGAGCGCTCCCTCCGGGCATCTGCGCAGGCCTTCCTCCCGGCTACCAATCGGCCAGGCATCCCCCTCCGCCTCGTTTCAAGGAGAGCAACCCCACCGCGCGGGAGAGCGAGGCCCGTTCCCGGGGAGAGCCGGGCGGGCGGGCTGCGCTGGGCCAACAATGGCAAGGCCCCCCCGCCCCTCCGCCCTCGGGAGCAATTGGGCCGCACCGCCCAGAAAGGCCGAGCGGGGGGAGGGAAGCCCGGCGGCTCTCCGGCCCTCCTTCAAGCCCTCCGGAGGCCGGGAGGGAAGGGCCTCCTCTCCCCCCCCCGCCCCGCGGTCGGCACCTGGGTAGCCGCAGCGCCGGCTTTGCTCCTCCGGAGGGCGGAGACCCGAGTGCCGCGGCGCCCTTCAGCAGCTGCCGGGAAGGCTCAGGCCGCCGCGGAGTGAAGCTGCCGGGCGAAAGGGGGGAGGGAGAGAGCGCCAATTCCCCCGCCAGGAAACCGGGGAGCCGCCCGGCCCGACCTACCGGAGCCATCGGGCAGCCCGGCCCGCCTCATCCCGGCGTACTCGCCGCCGCCGCCGCCGCCGAGGGAGCCAGAAGCGCGGACGCGCCGCCGCGGGGAAAGAGTTGGAGCGGGCGGGCCCAGCGCGCGCGGCGCACCCCATTGGGCAGCGACGGGGAGACGGGGCGGGGCCAGGCTGACGGGCGCTAGGATTGGCTGAGGGGCTCCCCGCCAGGGCGGGAAGGGAGTGCGGGAGCGGGGCCTTTTCCGGCGGAGCTTTCCTCTCGGCAGAGCAGGGCTCGCTTACCTTCCTTATCCGCCATGATGGCGATGCGTTGAAGGGGCGCGTGTGCGTCACGGCTCCCGGTTCCCGACGGCTGGCCGGCCGGCTGGCTAGGCACGCCTCTATGGTTTGACGAGGCCGCCGCCTGTCCCTCGCCCCCCCCTCGTTCGCCCGTCGCCTCAGAGCGGCACCGCGCGCGCCGCGTTCGCGCCAACGGCAGCCAATCGCAGACCCTCACGGCCGCGGCCTCCTCCGCGAATCACGAGCGCGGGAATGGCGGGAGGGGGCGGGGCAGGAAAGGCCGCGCGCGCGCGCGAACGAGCGAGCCCCCTGCCGCTGCTTCCTCCCCCTCCCTCCGCCTGGGCCGCCATTTTCGGGAGGGGTGGGGGGTCCGGGGTGGGTGGGCTACTCCGGGGACGGACCTCTTTCTCCCCCCACTTTGGTCGCCCTCGCAGTTGCCAATCATTCCGTCATTTACGAGGAGGAGGAGGGTGGGGTGTTTTTTCCTCCCCTTTCGGGGCAGCCGGTCAGGCAGTTGCCAAAAGGAGGCAACCGCTTCCTCGCCTTTTTCTAGAGCAGGGGTAGGCAATCTTGACTCGTGGACTTCAACTCCCAGAATTCCTGAGCCAGCCATGCAGAGGGGAAAGGGAGTTTCTAAGCTGAGCTATGATGGCAGAGGGAATTCTGGGAGTTGAAGTCCGCGAGTCATAAAAGCCAAGATTGCCTAGCCCTGATCTAGGGGCTCCCGAGAGGGTTTCGGGGCGGAGTCGGACCGGGGCGTGGCCACGCCCCCCTGCGGAAGCGCCCCGAAAGGTTCTGGCTCCTCCCCCAGCGCCTTCCGGGTCTCCGAGCGCGACTGTCCCGCGGCCGCCCTGCAAGCGGAGCGGCCCGGCGCTATGGCGGAGGAGGACGGCGAGAGGGACTACGGCCTGACGGCGGCGCAACGGGCGGTGAAAGGCCGCTACCCCGCCATCCAGAGGAAGTACGCGTGTGAGTGCGGCCCTTCTCCTCGGGCGGGGGCGGCGGGGGGGTGTCCCTCTCCTGGTCCGGGCTGTCCTCGCTCGGGAGCTGCGGGGGGAGAAACAGCTGCCCGGCCTTCGGCGGTGGGGCCGGCATGAAGGAAAGATTCCCGCATTTATCGCAGACGGAGACGAAAACCAGCACGGCTGGATGGAGAGAACGCAACCGAGGAGAGCCAAACGGCCCTTGAAGCCCCGTTCAATTCTTTAATCATATCAGTTTATTCTCCCTAATTCAGCCAGTACGCAGCCTCCAGCCACCCTCGGGGAGTTTTTGTTTTCTTTTCCATCGGTCTTTGCTCAACTATACTTTTAGCGTGGCTAAATCAATAGGTTTTCTATTTCCCAATCTGGAAAAAAAATGTTGAGATTTTGAATTTGAGATGATTATTTTTTCACTAGCAAATCAAAACCTATAGAATCCTTGAGGTTCAGGCCTTATTGTATTTTTTGTGGATTTCACTTTGACTAATTGATTTTATGTATTTTTTAAACCACATTTAGATCTGGATCACACAGCCGATGTGCAGTGAGTATTTTCACCTAAGCGTATAATCTAATAAATGGAAGGGGAGGGCTAAGTTATATAATGTCCGTTCTTTCGCTAGTCTTCAGGAAAGAGTTTTTTCAGGTCATAATTCCTCATTAGTAACTCTAATCTTATTTTACTCTGGATATGCTAGACTAGCATCTTAAATCTGTCTACAAAACATTGTACCATGTTAGGCTACTTATTCATCTGGTTCCATACTTGTCCAAATTCCCATGTTGCATTAAAATTATTTTATCTTGGTTTAGTGTGTTTAATTAGATTTAATTAATTTAAGGTACTTAATTTGAGTCCATTAAATTAATTAAATTGATTTTATTACAGCTTAGCAAATTTGTGACTGGGTTGTTAGGAGTTAGTCGGGAAATAATGGCTTACAAAAATTATGCTTGGGGAAGGCAACTCAACTGATAATGATTTTCCAGATTGGAAGCTTCTCCAGTCTCCAATTCTATCTGTAAAGGGGAGGAAACAAATATGGTCTCCCTATCTGGAAAACAGGAGTTAAGTCCCTAAGATACATGTCTTCCCCAAAACCTTCTAGCTTAAAACCAATGTATGGGTTTGTACCTGTTGGAAGATTACATAATCTGTTCTAAAAGATTCCTCTGCAGACTGGGAAGAAGAGTGGATGAGGACAAAGGTTTTTCTAAAGAGCAAGTCATTGTAGAGGTTATTGTTGAGCACATTGAATAAAAGCCACAGAATTGAAAGGGCAACTATTTATTTTCTATTCGAGACCTCAAAGTTTAAATCATTTACTATGTATCCTATACATCCACTGAATTGTCCTTTCTGATACTCTGGTCTTCAGATTTCTCATCTGTATATTTTATTCTGATGTTAGGACCATCCTACCAAACAGAATTAATTCTGCTCAATTTGTAGGTTGCATGCCTGGGGTGATACCTTGGAAGAGGCGTTTGAACAATGTGCTATGGCCATGTTTGGGTATATGACAGACACGGAGACCGTTGAACCTCTTGACACTGTAGAGGTGGAAGCGGAAGGTAAGAAAGCGCTTTTGAAGCCACCCAGAGGTTTTTGCCCACAACATCTACAGGCAGGAACAACTTTTAAGAAGGCTGCCTTGAACTCCATGAGTGTTTTTAAAGATCAAAGTATTAGATGAAGATCTGTCAGTGCATGAATGTATTGATTAAATATATAGACCTGCTTTTATTATATTGTCTATGAATCAGTTCTCAAATGGCCCCAAGGAAAATATTGGATGTAAGATCAATTCCTTAGTCCCTCTCTGCCCACCAGAAAACCCACGCAGGGGGAAAACATTACTTCCACCCAAAAGTTGTAAGCATAATTGCCGATTCCTGCAGGTAGGCAAAAAATTTAATTTTCTTTGCATTCAATCTAGGACGACGAGCAGAAAAAGCAGTTTCAGCATAGTTAAGAATATGCAGGAAAATGATGAGCCCTCCCAGGGTGGTTCACACAAAGATCACCTTTCATATCCTTTGCCAGCCTAAAGCTGTTTAGGGTGGGAATCAGATATGTTTGGGCAGTGAGGAGGAATTTCTGCTTTAAAAATCCACCTGAGGTTTCTAATACATTTTTCCATAGGACATGATATGCTCTCTCTCCTCTTTAATTTCCTCAACGAGTGGCTCTATAAATTCAGCGCTGAAGAGTTTTTCATACCCAGAGTGAGTATTTACTATTTTTCATCTTAAGAAATAGGGACGCTGGCTCTTTACGATGATCCTGTTGATCTATTGCAGCGGTTCTCAACCTATGGGTCGCGACCCCATTTGGGGTCGAACGACCATTTTACGGGGGTCGCCAAACAACGCGATCCGCCATTTTTCCCCCTCGGGGCTGCGCCACGCATGCGCGGCACGTCCGTGTGACGGGATCGCCGTCACACAAACGTTGAGAACCACTGATCTATTGAGTTCATCCAATCTTATGACACTGAGGAGGTTCATAAGACTGCAACTAGCCAATGAGAAAGTCTAAAGGGGAGCAGGAACGTATTTTATTAAGGTCCCATTAGTTGCATTCTACTTGTGAATCAGGGATTTTTATAGATTAACTAGATTATATGGGCTGCTTGAGATGCTGGAGCAGACTAGAATATCCGTTTGTAGTCTCTAAGAAGTTACTGCTTTAGGTCTGTCCTGATGTATGTAGAGAGTGGGCAATTGTTCTGCTTGGATTAAGAATCCTGGTACTTGAAGATGCTACTGAAGGTGTGTGAAGGTGTATGCTTTTCGTACTAAGGTTAAATTCCTCCCTGTTTATAGGAAGTGAAAGTGCTTCACATTGACCGAATACGTTTCAAGATACGATCTATTGGGTACGTGAAATTACCCAGTTTAAAGTAGAAGAGTTGAAATTCTAAAAACTAAAGACTTTCACAGACGATTCTGCAGAGTCTACTAAGATTCTGCAAAGAAGGTTACTAAGTGTCATCTCTGCCAGGTTTCTTCACTATGATTTCTCATGAACTTTTGGGAAAGGAAATGCAGGCCATTGTGATCAAATTTGTCTGCCTTTAAATCAGCATTCCCCAACCTTTTCGGGTTGGTGACCAGGCATGGGGGAGAGGAGATGGTTTTGTCTGAGGGCCAGGCGTGCAAGCCCGCACAGCGTCATTCACTGGTGTGAGTGGGGGATGTGAGCACTGGTGCCTCCTGCTTGCACAAAAGCTGCGCCCGTGTGCCGGCCTGCCACTCACAAATAGGCCTGGTTGCAAATAGGCCATGGCCCAGTAGTGGGCCGCAGCCCACAGGTTGGGGACCCCTGTTTTAAAATGACCCAGGCGGCTTTCCCCTCTGGTGATGGCTTTTTAAAAAATGCTTTACTCTGGTAATCTAATGATGGCTTTCTTTTATTTTCAAGGTGGGGAGAAGAGTTCTCTTTGCAGAAGCATCCCCAGGTATTTTTTAACGAGCTTTAGCATACCGTAGTTCTTGTGGACTTGTGAATCAGAGTCAGATCTGGCTTGGTTGAGCATCTTTCTACGTTGCAGGAAAACAATCCTTGCATTCCTAAGTCATAGCTCATTTAATCATGATTTACTAAATAAGCCACACTTGTTTAGGTCCACATAACCATAGTTAAATGATCCATGCCTTGCAAGCCACAACGCTTAGTAGTATGGCTTGGCATGATTTATACATACAGAAACCATTTATTTTCATCCTGACTAGAAGAAGCAAGTGAGTGTACAGTCCCTGCCTCCAGTTTGGCTCTTCCCTTGTTTCAGCGCAAAGAGATGCTGTTGTTCCAATGTTCACATCTGATTTCTGTACTCTGCTCTTGACAAGGATGTTTCAATTCTGCCTGAATAAGCCATGGTTAAGCATGGTTTGTTGAATTAGCAAGTTATTTACTGTTTTCCCTTTGCTTGTTCATCTCAGGGGACAGAAGTCAAAGCAATCACGTATTCAGCCATGCAGGTTCAGGAAGAAGGAAAACCAGAAGTTTTTGTCATAATCGATATTTAAAGAAAGGTGGCGAGCCCGTTGAGCAACAGGAATCATTTTCAGGAGGAGCCCAGAAGCCAGTCGGCCAGAAGCAGCTCTGGATGCAGATTCAGGCAGCAGCCATTGAGGAGATAATTAGACTAACTTGGCAGTAAAAGCCAGAGATGAAATTGTTAGCTGTTTCATGACAAGATGCGTGATGGAAATGAACTAGGATTAATTTTTTTCCTTGTTTTGATTTAATTCCTCCATTCCCCCCTTGGGGAATACATCCAGTAAGAGGAAACAGAGCATGCTCCTTGTGTCTGGTGTTCTTCGTCGGCTTTGGCACCAGGCTCAGATCCGAACTGGGGACGACGCTGGCATGGAGGAGAGCCACGTTAGTCTCTGCGGGCCAAAAATCAAAGGAGTCTGCTGGGCAAAAATACAGATAGTCCTCAACTTGCAATCACAGTTGGGACCAGAATTTCCATTGCTAAGCAACACGGTTGTTCAGTTAGTCTTGCCTGATTTTCTAAGCCTTTTTGCCACAATTATATGAATCACTGCAGTTGTTAAGTAAATCTGGCTTCCCCCACTGGCTTTGCTTGTGGGAAGCTGGCTGGGGAGGCTGTGAATGGCGATTCCAGGACCCCAGGATGCTGTAACTATCCTAAATACATGCCGGTTGTCAAGCCCTCAAACGCTGCGGCAGTCATAACCAATGGTTGTAAGTCGAGGACTAACTGTAGTCAGGGAGGTAGAACTCAAAAGTAATCTCGCGCGGGGTGTGTGGGGGGGGAGGTCATGCTTGCCACACAAGGGAAGAGAACGATGGCCCACAACTACCTTGGATGGGATGTAAATATTTTAAATGTATTCAAAATATGTTCACTTTGCGTAAACAAGCAGTATGGCAAAATATTTGACTGTCGTAGAAGGCAAGAGGATCGAAGGTGTTGTTCCTCCAGCCTTCCACTGCAGTTGCCCACTTGACAAATGTCACTGGCCTCGGGGACTTCGTGGGTTTTGCTACCCTCTGCCAGTGAAAGGTGTTTTGCCAATCAGGAAGCTGTCTTAATGCTACAAGTATAGTATTTTACTATAAATAGCAACTAGATCAGGATCTCAGGGCTTCCTTCCCCACTGAAGGAAACACCAGGGTGTTGGGCTAAAAGAAAATACAGCTTATTACCTCTCACAACCTTGCGTGTTTGTTGCAGTGTAACATTTCCATAAAGTCAAGGAAGTCAACATATGTGAACAGATGCATCATGAGGAAAGCTGCAGTCCCACCTGTGTGTTCCAGTGCTGGATTTGAAAAGTCTCAGTTGTTCTACCAGGTGCAAGACCTGCCAAGAGGGTTCACCGAAAACAGATTTGGGAATCAAAAACTGGTTTTGAAAACTTACTGTTTTTAATACACAAACGATGGTTTGGAGAAGGCGCATGCTTGCTGAAGGATTATGACTTGTCCACTTACATTCCTTTGGATCTACTGGCTGTGTTTCTAAGATAACGCAGAGCTGAGGTTACTGTCCTTGGGCAAGTACAGGCTGGAACACTGCTAAACCTTTCATATTTGTGTTTATAGTTAAACAAAACTCTTATACGTGCAAAAATTTAATTCAGTAACTGAATTACTATGAAGTTGTTCACTTTTATTTTGAAGGGCTTCCCAATTCTGTAAAAGGATTAAGAGGACAATTTTATATTATCAAAAGTTATCACAGTCACCGTTTGCAAATAATTGTTCATACATCGCGCCATCTTGAAACGGAGGCCTCCTTATGGAATAAAATAGTGATACTTGGGGGTAGCTAAATTCAGAAGAGAGACAATGGCATGTCCGTCAGTCACTGCATGCAGTTGACCCCAAGCCAGGGAAAGCCTTCAGAGCAGAGTGCATTTGAACCCTGGGCCGGCAGGTAGGCAGGCTGGGTGTCAACGGTCAAGACAAGGAATGAGATGACGCAACAGGAAGGTTGGGGGGGGGGAGACTACGACGGATCTGTCCTCCATGCCTACCTAATGTTGGGCTTTACATCTTTTTCCTCGGCTTCCTCGTCGCTGTCATCCACTTGCTGGATAACCAGATCAGACGAGCCGTCCTCTACAATCTCCACGTCGGATCTGTTGTCTTCGCTGTAATTCCAGTTGGAGTCTTTGTCCTCTTCCAGGGGGAACTCCGGGGGCGGTTCTGTGTCCAAGTCAATGCGGATGCTGTCGATCCCGGCTTCGGAGAGGCATTCATTGCAAAGTCTGTAGCGTCTGGTCCCTTCCTGGACCACCTGGCCCGTCATTTCGGTGACATGACGCTTGCATTTTCTGCAGATGGGCTTGCAAGCTTGATGGATCTGCAGTGATGGGAGGGGACATTACCAGAAAGTGCTTACATGGACATTGAGTTGTGTGGCAATAGCAAGTAATACTCTCCTTACTGAGAGAATTGCCAAGTTAAATTTAGACCTAAGTTAAATCGATTTAATCTAGAAAACAGAGCTGGACATCATTAGTGTTTGAATACGATGGGAGGTAAAAAAAACAAATCTCTGAGCCACTGACTGCTCTATGGCCCTGAAGAAAACTCTATGAAGTTGTTTATGATGTGAGCAGGCGTCAAGGTCGAGTCAAGATAAACCTAAATTTCAGGATGACTTCTCTCTCTTTTTTTAGCAAAGAAGGGATGAAGATTAAAACAAATTAACTTCTTACTTGCAAAGTGATGTTATTATACGGTAAAGCTCTTGTACAATTTTGTATGTAATTACATAATTCTCTTGGCCAAAGTCCCCCGTGCTGAGCAGAGGCTCTCCTGGGGCCTTGAGGCCCACCTTGCCTCAGCCTCAGAAGCCAGGTAGTTCTCTACAATGCAGGCTTTGCTTTGACCATCCCATGTTTCCAGATATGTTTCACTACAACTCCCAGAACTCCTAGTCGTGTGTCTATCTGTGTGTGAAGGTACCATCTTAAGGCAAAACATAAAAAAAAAAAGTTTACCGTCCGAAAGTGGCTGCTCAAGTGATCCAGCCGGCTGAACCTTTTCCCGCAGGCTTCGCAAGGGTACGGCCGCTCTCCCGTGTGGCAGCGGAGGTGTCGCTTCAGGTCTGCTTTCCGTTTCACCACGTGGGTGCAGAAGGGGCATTTGAACCTCATCCGAGGCAGGTCCTCTGAAATACAAAGCACTCCCTTCAGCTGCAAAACCCTCCAGACGGATCCCGACTGGTCTGTGTGGCAATACTAGTCATCCAATGGCTTTGGAAGGAGTATGAAACAGCCTTTTGCAAGCTTGGCAACTTTTAAGACCTGTGGACTTCAACTCCCAGGATTCCCCAGCCAGAAACTTGGGGAGTTGATGTCCACAGTCTTAAAAGTTGCCAAGGTTGAGAAACCCTGGTCTAAAAGCAGGCAAAGTGGTTGGTCTTTATGTGCTTATGTGGCTCAATTCTGTTCAAGTGAGCAATGAGAACTTGCAACAGATTCTGCTGGAAAGTGCAGATGGTCCTCAACTTACGACTAGTTGCTTAGCAGCCGTTCAGAGTTAACAATGGACTTCTCTGGGGCCATTTACAGCCCAAATTCAAAATTCCGATGGCTGCCCCAACCCTGGCCTGTGACTGCGTTTTGGGCATTTGGCAACCTGCACACATTTACAGCTGTTTGCAGCACAATTTACAACATTTTTTGCTGGAAATAGGTGTTTTTATTTCCTGTTTCTGGCAAAACCGGCTCATTATGAACCAGCGGTTTGCTTAATCACAAGAAAGGTTGTAAAATTCAGATGCAGTCACGTGATGACCTGCTTAATAATGACGGATACGAACTTCCGACTATAATTCTGGGTTCAATTACATTCGTAAGTCAGGGACCACCTGGAATAGCCCAGCTCAGAGTCTCCCCCAGAGTCGCTTTTCCATCGATGCACAGCCTTCAGGTTTACCAGCCGGGATTCAGCAGCTTTTTTACAGGCACCAGGTTTCAGATGCTCATTTTGATCCTTGGCTCCTTGATGATGCAATGCTGAAACATTCCAAACTCTGCTTTGGAAATTTTGTCCCCAGAGGCCAGTTCCTGTCCCTCTCAGGGCCAAATTCGGCCTCTGGCACCAGCAGCTTTTTTCCACTGTTGGGTGAAGGAGACAAATTTGGACAAAAAATGGTCTGTGTTGCTTCTTCCCACTTTGTTGGTCGGACCAAACATGATGTGCTTAGGTTTTTGTTATAGAATAATTATGGTTCATCTGTATTACTTGTAACTCTGAAACCTATTTTTGGTTTGGTTATACATACAAGAAATGAATATGGAGGAAGGAAAGGAAAATTCTTTTAAGCAAAACTCAGAAAGAGCTCGGCTTTAATTCTTGGAGCCTTGGCCTGCCGACGGTTTCTGCACAAGGTGCTCCCTGCAACCGGTGAGAGTCCAGCCCTTCCCTTTGGTCTCCTCTGCTCTATCGGCCGGCCCCACAAGGCTCAGGGGTTGCATAAGGATCTCCAGCTTGCTCCATTTTGGCACCACCCTCAGAATACCAGAAAGGCACACTGAAGTTCAGGTCAAAGTTCATGCCACAGGAACAGGAAAAACCCTCAAAAGCCCAAGAAGGTATAAAAACCCACCACTCCCAGGTACATGTAGTCAGCTGTTCCAGAGCCTCATGTCTTGTGGTTCTGCTCTTCAATAAACTACAACCTTCTTTCTAAAGCAGTCTCCATTTTGTTTATTCCCGGCTTGGACTGGACCCTGATGAAGATTTTTCTTTCAAAGGAAGGAAGGAAGGCTTATGTCAGCCAAGGAGACACCTGCAATGTATACTTTTAAAAAATGCCTCATGTTCGCTAATTATCCTACTCTGCAAGTTGGGGATTGCAGGGAGAAACTGATGGCAACCTTGAATGATGCCAGACGAGTCAACCAAACTGAACTATGTGACTGAATACTTAAGTTTATACAAAACCCCATTCAGGGCAAGTCGCTCTTCTCCCACCGATCCCTTCTAGCTGTGTACAGACTATAATTCCCACCATCTGTGTTTTAAGGAGCAAGGCTGCCCAAGACAGTTGGCAGGCACTCAGCTGGGGAAGATACAACTCCTAGAGTTTACTTCTCCCAAATAAAAATAAATTGTGAATAGCTCATTTAGAACATGAAAAGCAGTTAGGACACATTCAATGGATTACCCGGCTGTGCAGCTGGATGCAACATCTGGTCAACTTGAGCAGAGGATCAAAGAAAGCAGAATCGTGTGTTTCAGTCAAACAGCATTTTCTAATAACGGTGGGGGAGGACATTGGAGGATCTGCTTCTGGCAGCAAACGGTCTTGGGCTGGCGGTACAAAATAGGATTTGGGAATGACCTCGGGGGACAAAGGAAAGAGATGCTGCGGAGGGAAGGAGCAGAGAAGAGCAGGGGCAGCCCCCAGTGGCTTAACCTTCAGTGGAGGAAACTTAGGAAGGACCCACCCTAATGGATCAGGCAGCTAAAAGTGGCATTAGGAAGTTTCAGACTTACAAGACTCCCTTAATATACCTTTAGAATAAACTAGAATTAGCTCATTGGTCCCATTTCCTGCCTGGTTTACCAGGAGGGCTGACATGTTACTGCATCAGCTCACAATCTCCTGGGGCCGGCTCCAGCAGGATGGGCTTCACTCTGTGCCCTGCATCGGCACCCACCACCACCTTCCCCTTAAGCTAAGAGAGCAAAAAGACGACTTTGATTGAAATCTCTGCTAAAGAGCTCCGTTTCCAGAATCTACCAAGTCCTGCACTGCACTCAGCAAATATTCACGGTGCGTTGCCTGGAACCTTCACCTCCACTAGAACTAGCAATTCAGAGGCATCCACGTCTGCCTGTCTTTAGCTTCCCACCCCTGACAGAACCTCTGCCCAGGTAGAGCAGGGAATGGAGCGCCAAGGCTCTTACCCTCAGCCCAGTTCCCCATAACCCCCAAGACGGAGGGCACGCTGGGGTACTGCTCTTCGCCTTTGGAAGACTTGGACTTGCTGGCGGGGTGGGGCGATTCGTGCTCATGCTGAGGCACAGCCAGCCCTCTCGCATCCGCGCCCTGCCCGTACTGGTAGCCGGCAGGACAGGAATCCCCTTCCGAGTCCACTTGGAGGTCCTCTTCAGACGGAGCAGAGTGGCTTGCCTGCTCAGCAGCCCGGTCTTCCAGCTTGTTCGCTTTGTAGGGGGGCCCGTCCGCAGGCTGGGCCAGCCCCAGATGCCGGCTTTTCTTCAGGGATTCCTGTCTTTGGTCATGTTTGGAGAGGGGCTGGGCGGCTCTCGGGGTGGATGGATAGTAGCTGAAATTTGTCCAAGAGTTGCTGTTGATCATGCACGTCCCTCGGTCGGGGCTCAGATGGGAGTGGGGAGGGCTGGACTCCGCTCTCCAGCCGGCACTGTACAAGCACAAGCGCTCCACCCCGTTGGAGCTGACCTCCTTGTCCGAGAGGCTGAAATAGCGGTCCTTCTCCTTCTCACTGATGTCCAGGGAGGACTTGATGAAGGTCTTGCAGACGCTGATGACGTCAGTCATCTGAAGGAAGCTGGCGGCCGACATCACCTCAATCACGTTCTGGCCGGTGAGGGAGAGTTTGCCAGAATACACAAAATCCAGAATCACTGAGAAGGTCTCCGGGGAAAAGGCCTGGAAAGTGGCCGTGGTGGGGTGGCCAGCCTCCTTGGAGCACTGGGAGAGGAGCATCTTGAAGTAGCCGCTGCTGGCAAAGAGCACATTGCGGTGGGCTCTGAAGACCTTCCCCTCCACCAGGATGCTGCAGTCGCAGAAGAGGTCCTGCTGCCGCTGCTCATTTAACTGCTGCAGGAGGTGGGACTGATGGGAAGAAATCTCCATTCTGAAACCGGGCAGGGTTTATGCTGCAAAAGAGCACAGAGTATTTTTACAGGCCCACAGCGGCTGCAATGCTTTCGGTCAACAACAACAACAGGAAGCTATTTTCAGACCTTGGGACAGAGAGAGATACACATTCATTCATTCTAGAGCTATTTGTGTAGTGCCCATCTCAGTCAATGACTCTGGGTGACCTATAATCCCAAGAGTATAAAAACAATTAAATAAAAAAGTATTTTAAAAGCAATAAAAAACATTAGAAATAAGCAGCCAAGATAGTTAGCCAGTTAATGGTAAAGCCAGGATGCTGGGCCCTTAGCGCATTCAATGACCGGGGCTCGGGAACAAAGCCAGGGTTTTAGAGCTTTAGGCAGTAGTACACAAGTAGCAGCTTTTCAACAGGAAACCAATTTCTATGTCCCTTTTAACCAGTGAGTTTCACACAGGAACACCAACAGTTTCTGCTACCCTGCCAAATAGAGCAGAATTTGATACAAGTAGTCCCTCAGAGCTTCTTCCTCAGGAAAATCTCTGGGCCAGTTGCTCTCAACATTTGCAGCAGAAATTTACAGTGTGCACCCCCCCCAAATCCATACCACACATTTAAAGAATCCGTCACTTTCAGCCATACAAAGTACTGCAGTTAAGTCAGCTGATGTAACTATCAGGAAGTTTGCAGCTGTGGAAGGAAAAGAATCCCCAATCTGCCTCACACCCCTCATAACATCAAAGGTGGCCAGCTGTTGTTACATGTGGAAACCTTTTCTCTTCTGTTCTAGTGTGGGCTACTCTATTCTTCAGCAAAAAATTTCCCGTGCAGACCTATTTTTGTTTTGCAGTCTGCCTGTTTAATCAGTGGCCACACTAACACAGCAAACTAACCCAAAAGCTTGGCTAGCCACATGTCATCTTCTTCCCCAGCTGTTTGCTGCATCTTAGCCAAGCTTTGATGCTTCCTAGGTGATCTGTCCTCAACTCAGCCCCTTGTCCAAACTGGACTTTATAAAGAAGACTTTCAGAATGGAGGCAGTTGATAATCTTATAAAGAAATATAAATGGTTATGTGATGTGATCTGTGCAAAACTCAAAATGCCACCAGCCAGGTTCTGATGAGACGGTTACAAGGCAACCCGGATGGGTAGCTTACACAAACTTGGCTTGGGGTGCTGTGCAAACTGTTTGTGCCTTTAGTTGGAATCTGGCACTTCTTAGATCTGGAGGATTGACTAGCACCACACATTCATTCTGAGAGAGAGAGAGAGAGAGAGAGAGAGAGAGAGAGAGAGAGAGAGAGAGAGAGGGAGAGGGAGAGAGAGAGTGTTATTTTTGATTGCTGTGGTTTTGGCTGCTTGCATCTTCCCCTCTTTCCAGCCTCCCCAGACCTTTTATCGGGACCAGGGAGAGCGCGGAGTTCTGGAGGCTGCTGAAGGGCCTCGGGACCCCGTGCCAGCCCGCCCAAGTCGGCCTTCCCCGCCGAGGCTTCTAGCCGTTCCGCCGAGACCGGCGGGTTCCCTCAGGGCGGCAGAAGCCTCCGGCGATGAAGACCGCGGTTAGGTCAACGGAGACTGAGCGTCCCTCGCTGACGCGAGCGGGCGGCATCTCCGGCCTGCGCCTTGAAGGCTGGGGCGGGGGGAGGACGCACTTCCCGCCGCTCCGCTCTTTCCTCACAGGCCGGAGGGCCCCGCCGGCGGGTTGCCCGGAATGCGCGCCACGCCGCTCCGAGAGCGGCTCGTCGGTCGGGGGCCAAAGCGCCTTGGCGGGCAGAGGGACGCGGCGCCCAAACCGCCATTTGCTCGGCGCCGGGAAGGGCAGCGCGAAGCGCCGGGCGGCTGGAACGTCCCCGCCCTCCAGGTGGGCTCCGAGGACTGCCCAGCGCGGCCACTGAGGACACTCCTGCGCCGCGCCCTCCCGGGGCCGCAGGGCGACGCACCGCCTGCGGACGCCCAACCGCCCGCCCTCCGCCCGCTGCAGCGAGCGCCGAGCGGGCAGCGAGGGCAGCGGCGGGGCCAGCCCGGCCGAAGAGGGAGCGCGGCGGCGCATTGGCGGAGGGCGCCGTCAGTCTTTGCCCGCACTTCCGAATTGGCTGCTCGGCCGTCGGGAGCCCCGGGAGCCCGCCAAGGCAGCGGCGGCCGTGCGGGAGCCCCTGGAGGCTCCGGGAGGGGCGGCGCCGCTGCCTCGCTCTCCCCCGCCGGATCGCCGCCCGCCCGGTGCTGGCGGCGATGCGGCAGACCCCGCCCCCCTCACCGTCGCCCTGCCCGTTCGCTGCCCGCTTCGGAGGCGCCCCCGGCAGCCCCGGCCCCGCCGCCTTTTGTTGCGAGGAGCGAGCGCCGCGCCCGGGGCGGCGACGGCAGCAAATGGCGCCCGCCCGCTCCCCGGGGCCGCTCCTCCGCCGGGCGAAGGGGGCGCCGGGCGGGCGCAGGCGGGCCCCCTTCCGGGCCTGAGGGCGAGCGAAGCAGAGGCCGCGGAGGGCGCTCATCCCGCCCGACGCCCTGCTCGCCCGGGCTGCTGCGAGGCGCCGCTGGTGACTTACCGCTCGGCGGAGGCAGGGCTGGGCTGGCTGCGGCTCCGGAGGCGGGCGGGCGGAGGGAAGGAGGGAGGGAGAGGCGGGAGTGACGGTGCGAAGCGTCGCGGGGTCGCGGGCTCCGCCGCCCCGCAGCCCGGCCGGAGAGAAACAAAGGTGGCTGCTGACGTGGGCGGAGGAGCGAGGCGCCCGAGGGCCGGGGACACAATTAAAGGGGCAACGCAGCGAGCGCGGCAGGAGCCAAGCGCGCACGCCGCTCTCCGCCTGGCCGCGCGCGCCCCTCCTCGCCGCCTCGGTCCCTCCGGGCGCCCCGCGCGGACGCCCCGCCCGCCCTGGCGCCCGCCCGGCTGGCGCTGCCCTCCCCGGCGGCCCCGGAACGCCCTCCGGCGCCCTGGCCTCACCCGCCGGGACCCCGTCGGGCGGGAGGTCCCCACGCCCGCCGTTCTCGCGCCCGGGCTTTGCTGCGCCCCCCGGCCTGATGCGGGGCGAGCGGGGCGGAGGAGGCTGATGCCCGGCCGGGGCTGGGACGAGCCGGACGGGGGGGGGGCGTCCGGCTCCCGTCGCCTCTGACTAAGCGCGAGCGGCCGGGCCGAGCTCGGGGAGGTCGAGGGAGGCCGAATAACGACCGGGGCTCTTCCGGGCGGCGCAAATCTCTGCGAAAAGCGGATCGCCAGAGGCCGGGCGCGCCTGCGGTTCCGCGACAGAAAAATGCCCGCGGCCTCCGTCCGGCCCCGGGGTGAGCCAAGGAGTTTGTGCGCGATCTCTTCCAGGACTTTTCTACACGACCCCGGAGGCTATTCGGGCCCCCGCTGCCGAGAAGGGCGTCCGGACTTCCAGGGCAGCTGCCTCCTCGGCCGCCGCTCCAGACCGGAGCTGCTCCGACCTCGGCTTCCCCCCTGCCGTCATTTAGTCCGCCGGAGCCCCCGCAATTATGACCCAGCTGGACCGCGGCGAAGGAGCCTCCCAATCAAATAGGGGGGCAGGGGGGCTTATTTGCTGAGAGGAAGTTTCAGCTCTGCCAAAGGAGGGTTGACCCAGCATAGGGTTCTGACAAGATTCCCATATAGACTGCCTAAGCTACAAGTCCTCATTGAGAAACAGCTGGCTCTGGTCCAGCTCCCATTGAGGGGCAACTATTGTGCATCACTGCTGTTCCCACACTCACATACTGGCTCAAGATACACCCAAGAACATGTGATGCTTAGTTAAGCCTGAATGTGCCGTTCTGTAAAGAACCAGGGACTCCTTTTGCTCTTCTGTTCTCTGGCAGGGCTGCCAAGGAAGATGGCAGATAGAACACCGTTGTGGCTTTCATAAAGATCTGAGGGCCGATTCAGTTCGGTTCATTTGGGAAAGAGGAGAAACGACATGCTTGTTTTGTTTGTCCTGTGTCGCGCACACCTTAGTTCAGTTTTGTTCAATTGCTATGCACACCGAACACTCCTAGATTGAACTACCAACCGTGCATGCTTCCAAATGCTTTTTAATCCCATGCATACAGATAGTCCTCGACTTACAATTGTTCATTTCTTGTTCGAAGTTACAATGGCACTGAAAAAAGGGACATTACCATTTTTCACATTTACCACCATCGCAGCCTCCCCTCCTGCAGTGTCTCCAGCAAGATTCACGAGTCAAGAAAGGAGGGACAATTCTATTTTTAAAAAGAAAGTATACTGTAAGCAGGTTTTGTTTTTTAGCCAGCTTTTGCAGAGGGTGTGATTGGCCCATGCTGGCTTCCATGTCTTAGGGAGAACTAGAAAGCAGGCCTTTCTCCTGTCTGAGTTGCTGTTCTTCAGATGTGTCAGACTGATCTCCACAATTTCTAGTTGGTACCAGCCAGGGAGGGAGCTGGGCCAGGTCACCAGGTGTACTAACAGGTGGGAAACGCCTTGGGAGACAGGAAGAGAGGCTGCCCGGAGAACTGCAGATAAGAGCCACCTTAGTTCAGACATGTCAAACACAAGGCCTGGGGGCCAGATGCGGCCCGCGAAGTGGTTTCATGTGGCCCACAAAGCCATACTGGAAACAGTGAGGGAACGGCCCCCGCTGCCTTGGCCCTGGCCCAGTCCGGCCAGGAGCCAATGTACAATTTTGTGGTGGCCATCTATGCTGAAGCGCATTCAGTCTTAGCTCCATAAGCCCCCCCCCCCGCATGGCCTGAGAGGAACAGTGAGGCTCCTCCAGTGGACCATGCCTTGGCACTTGCCCCGGTCCCACCCCCTTCTGCCAGAGACCCTCAGATGTGTCCCACTCCTGCCCAGGCCCCCACAGGCACTCCTTGACGCGGAACGATGTAGGCTGGCCACTCCACCCAGTAGGCCACACCCACTCCATCCACGCCCACCCATTAGGCCACACTCCACACCAGGCCCCCTGAGGGCAACCGCAATGCTGATGTGGCCCTCAATGAAACTGAGTTTGACACCCCTGGCTTAGTCCACAGCTGCATGGGGGGGGGGGAGAGGCTGAAGAGAGACCCTCCCCAGTTTCTCAGACAGTAAAGGTGATGGCAGAATTGTACTTTCAGACTTGCAAGGTTCTATTAATGTAACTTTACAATAAAGAAGAATTAACTTATCTGTTGTGTTTCCTGTCTGGTTTACCTGGTAAGGTTGACAGCAGGATGGAGAAGGTGAATTTATTTTGAATAAGGGAGCTACAAACCACCGCATACAATTTTAGACTTTGATTTTCATTGACTTCGTTTGGTAGCTTTGTTCTGTTACGTCCAATGTGCTTTGATAGTTCCCTAGCTTGTTTAAATAGCCTCTAGAAATTCAACCAGAGGACATAAATTGAGTAATCTCAATTCTGTAGGAAACCAAATCCCTAGTGTACACCATCAACAGGAATAAAGCAAAGTTGAAACTATTTTTTTAAAACATGGAACATACTCAAGACAAACTTGTAAAACGATACAAATACAGAGACCATTACAATCCACCCATATTACCGTGTATCTGTGCAACAAGAGGCATCCTGGACTGAAGTGGGCCAGAAAACTGAAGAATTATGGCTCATTGCTGACTCGGTGTTCACAATACAAACACCACCAGAAGGGAGATCCCGCAAGGGGCCAATTTCCCCCACCCACCAAGTCCAGAATGGGGACATTCCCCAAAAACCTTCATTACCTTTGCAACGCACAAGGGGAAAGTTCTATTAACTTTGGCCTGACAAGCTCGTTCCAGGCCCTTTGCTGGGGAGCACCAGAGGTCCCAGCTCAGCCACCAGTGAAGATGCTGGAGCTCTACTCAACGGCACCTGAGGCCGCCAGTCCCCACCTGGGGCTCCAGAGTACGATCAGCTTCCCTCTCCTATTTCTTCCTCTCTTCCTTAGAGTATGAACCACGAGGACTCATCATTTCAGCTGGTTGTTTTAAAGGCCCTGGTCAACAAGCAGGATCTCATCCGTGGGAGCTTGCACTGCGGGCGTGGGACCAGCCACAGCACCCGTCGGCTTTGGGCCCAGTAAATGAAGGCAACAGTCAGGCAGCAAAAGATCTTGGTGTTTCAGCTGGAGATGCTGAGAAACGAACTTCAGACTTTCTGCCCCACCATCAGCAAGTCCCGCCGTGAAGCCCTGCCAGGGACACACAGCACAAGACAGAAGGGCCCCTTTTGGTTCAAGCACCAAGCGCGTCAGTGCCTGGTGCGCTGCAATTCCCAAGGTTGTTATGCCAGAAATTTGTAAACTTTTTATCTGCACCTGACTTGAGACAGAGCAGAAGCGCCCATTTAAGTTGGTGTTTTGCATTTCTAAGTTAGGATTAAAGATCAGAATAATGAGGGAGGGAAACTTGTCCCCCCAAATCTTTTCTGGATCCAAAGGGTACCTCAAGGTAAAAGCAGCAGCAGGGAGGAAAGAGAGAGGCCGCACCAGGTGAGCAGAGACGCACAGTTGCAAAAGGCACCCCACCTTCCAAAGCTGCAGCTGGGAGCCCTGTTGCTCCCACTCTTGAACCTGGGGCCCCTTTGAAATAAATTGTCCACAGCAACGACCATTGAAAAAGACTTTTCAGAATGATGGGAGTCCATCTGTGGTCACCCGAAGAGAATTACTTCTATTTATATATAAAAAAAACCCTAACCTCATGCAATTTTAGGTAACCGTGTGAGTCCCTCAGCAAGACCACCCATTCATAATAAGGAAAAGGGATTCCCAGCTGCACCCCAGCCCCCCTTTGTCCCCCCCCCGGTACTGCTACATCAGTGCTTCTTGATAGAGGCCCTGCTCATGGTCAGGGTCGACCTCCTCATCCTCGGGTGGATCCTTTTCGTCCCCGGATTCGACGTAGATGGGCCACTCGTTGTCCGGGTCGCTCTTCCCTGGCCCTCCGGAGGAAGGCTCCATGAGGCGGAGGTGGATGGGCAGGGAATCCTCTTGGGTGGTGGTGACGCACGTGCAGCTGTCGCAGAGGCCAAAGCGACGCAAGCCTTGAGTCAGGCTGCTGGTGAACGTTCGCCGGCAGCCTTTGCAGACGATGGGCTTGCTGGACCGATGGACCTGGAGACCCAAGGAAGAAGCCGGGTGGTCAACAACAGGGGCGGCTGTGGCCAGGAGGGCCTTTGCGCACAACGTGGGATTGTGCACTGGTTAGGCCCATTCCTGGACCAACATCTCCTTCTCACAAACAACCACGCCCTGGTCACCGCCCGTTTCGGCTTCTGTAACGCACTCTACATGGGGCTGCCCCCGAAGAGCCTTCAGAACAAGCCTGGACTCGTGCGTGGGTGGCCTCCTTTGAGAGAGCCACCCTGGCTGCCAATTCAAGGTGCTGGTCATCCACTTCAAGGCGCTGTGTGGCCTGGGGCCAGGCTACTCGAAGGGTCACCTTTAATGGCCCCTCTTCCATGCACCAGGCCCACCAGGACAGGCAGGGCCCGTTGCAGAATTGTTATCTGGTAGGATAACAAAAGGGCCTTCTTGGGAGTGGCCCCTTCCTTATGGACCATCCTTCCCCCAGAAACACCATTGGGCCCCACACTGCTGAACGGAGATGGAGCAAGGAAGGGGCTGATTTGATTATGTTGCTGCTGCCACGGTTGGGGGGGGGGAGGAATAGGTTTGTATGTTGTGGGTATTAATGTTGTAAGCTGCCCAGAGTCACCAGTGTGTGGAGTTGGGCAGCCCTATAAATTTGTACCATGAGCAAACAAACGACGTGGCTGATGCCCCCAACTCTGCCTCTCATCTGTACCGGCCCAAGTCCTGCCCAGCCCTTTTCCAAAACCTCCCGACTTCGACAAATGGGTCATCCGCAGCGATGGGGACGCACGGCTTCCCCGGGGGAGGGGGGGGCGGCTGGCGTGCCACTTACACTCAAGGCATGGCTCCGGAGGTGCTCCTGGCGCGTGAAGCGCTTGCCGCAGACTTCGCATGGGTAGGGCCTCTCGCCGGTGTGGGAGCGGATGTGGCGCTTGAGGATGCCCTTCTGCTTTGCTGTGTAGGGGCAAAACGGGCACTTGTGCAGTTTGATGGGCACCACGAGAACATCACCTTTGGGGGGGGGAGAAACAGCATTTGGGACTGTTTCAAAGGGGGTCCGAATTTCAAAAGAGGGGACTTAAAAATAACAGTGCAAACATTTGGGAGGGGGAAGAGAATTCCACTGCTCTCTGCTTGCTACAGTTTTTTGTTTTTTTTTTAAATATGGAGACTTCATTGTGGCAGCTGTTGCAACCAAGCAATGAGCGGAAGAAGCGCAGGAAAGCGCAGTTCCCTTGGCACAATGTTGTGTTTCAGCAGGAATGGTGTCTGGATCACATACTTAAAAAGAATAGCGATGGGATACGATCGTTCCCTGGACTGCATATCTTGGCCAAGTCTCCCTAAATGACAAGTTAGAAAGAAATCTCTCCCCCCCCCCAAGCCTTTAGGGCATGGAATGATGGCCTTAGGTTACAGGAAGATAAATTCTGCTTGAATGTTAAAAAACAAAACTCATAGGAGGAAGAGAAGTTTGATGGTATAACCTATGTCCAGGAGTTGGCCGGAGTCATTTTTTGTGAGCTATTTCATTTGCTAAATAAGTAAATAAAAAATAAATAAAAGGATGACCCTTTTCCTGGATGGATTCAAGCAGAAGCTGGGCAGCCATCTGTCAGGAATGATGTCAGCTGCACTGAGCAAGAGGGTGGACCTACTGACCTCAAAGGGTCCCTTCCAATTCTGGCACTCTCTGTTCTGCCTTCCGCCTCTCCAGATTTGCATTATTTTGGCCTGCTGCTCCACGTGTAGCCCAGCCTTTCGTTCTGCCCCAGAGCATCTTGCAGAAGGCCATTAGTGGCACATCAGTGGCCAACGGTAGCAGCAGGACGAAGATGTACTCCGAATTGCCCGATTTGGCCCCCACGGGCGACACGCCAAAGCCTGCTCTGAATGCTGCTTCTTTTGACCAACTGGCTGGATTCATATTGTGTCAGAGGCCGGCTGGGAAGGTCACCAACAGCAACCCCAGAAGGTCAGGATGCTGCAGCTGCCTGTTCAATACACGCCTGTGTGGCCCCTGAATTCTGATCAAAGCCCCCTGGGACTGCTGTGAGAGTCATTAAGGATCGGTTGCAAGTCACTTTTTTCTAGTGCTGTTGCAACTTCAGTTGCTAAACGAACGGTCCTGGGTCAAGGGCTTCCTTTATTGAATACCTGTTGAATTCTACACCTCTCCAGAAGTTTCAGATTGTGGAATGAAGATCCATTCCTTTGGAAACCCAGCTATTTGCATGCACCTTATTGCCTCAGTTCTGCCCAGGAATGGAACTCCTTGAAACGACTGGAGCAGAAAACGACCCCCCTGCAGGGACAGAAGCTGCCTGAGACTCGCCTTACCTGTGTCCTCTCCATACCAGTCACTGTGAATGTCCATCATGGAGCTCATGGGCAGGCTGGCATCTTCTGACCGGCCCTCAAAGCCACGCACAAAAGGGTGGACCACCTCGTCTTTCCTTTGGGAGGCGCTGTTGCGCAGCAAGGCTTCGAGAACCTGCTTCATGTGGTAGCTGCTGCAGGCCAGGTCCATGGCCTGCCCCCTGTGAAGCCCCTCTTCCATCTGCTCGATGGTCAAGGGAGTGGGGTACTGCAGCAGCCGCTCCCCGACTTCCACCTCGTCCACATCAAACTCGACCTTTGGCTCAATCGCCTTGGGTGCCAAGGAACCGGTGCCGTCCGGAGACTCGCGGCCAGCAGGGTCCCTGGCCAGGAGGTCCAGGTGAGGATGGCAGCTGCTGCAGTTCCCACAGGGAGGAGGCCCTTGTGGGCAGTCCGGGACACCTTCCTTGTCCTGCAGAGAGGAAGCGGAGGCTGAGCACTGGGCCTTGGCACCGCAGGATGGGCCTTGGCGGGCAGAGCTAGTGGAGCTCCTGCTGTCCGCCTGGTAGAAGGCAGCTTCTCGCTCGATCTTCCTGCAGATGTCCAACGACGACCGGATGTACGTCTTGCAGAAGTTGACCACGTCAGTCATCTGCAAGTAGCTGGCGGCGGACATGACCTCAATCACATTTTCCCCACAAAGGTCCAGCTTACCTGAATAAAGGAAGTCCAGGATAATGGAGAAGGCCTCTGAGGTCACAATGTCCAGGGAAGCTGTGCTGTGCCGGCCACTGTCCTGAATGTAGTGGATCAATAGAGCTCGGAAGTAGCCGCTGTTGGCAAAGAGAATGTTCTTGTGGGCCTTGAAAATCCTCCCTTCCACTATGATGCTGCAGTCACAAAAGAAGTCCCTCTTCCGCTGCTCGTTCAGCTCACTCAGGAGTTTGGCGTAGTAAGACTGCATCTCCATGGCTGTGCGGGTCAGGGGGCCCTGCAAGGGAAAGCAGGACCAAGCTAGGTCACGCAGCTCCAGGGCATGGAGGCAGGCCCTGACCACCTCCAGAGCACATCCACATCTGGCAGCCCCTCGGGGGGGGGGGGGCATCAAAGGGCCGTGGATGGAGAAGCCACAGGGGGAATCCTACATCTTCAGGAGCCTTTTTCCTCTCTCACTTCTGTGCTCTGTCTCGTCCAGGCTTTCTCAGTCTTGGCCATTTTAAGACATGTGGACTTCATTTCCCAGGATACCACAGCATTGAGTGCTAGCTGTGGAATTCTAGGAGTTGAAGTTTATACATCTCAAAATGTCCCAGGTTGAGAAACACTAATCTAGTTTATCACACCTGGATGGCCCTGGATGGCACGCAGGCATCAAGTTGACTTACAAGTTCCCAGTAAGCTGCACCCAACTTTGGCTTATTTCTGGGTAACCCAATGACTGATGCAGAAACTCCCAGAGCTTTGGGGGGGGGGTTGGGGCGAAGGGAGAGGAGGCAAGCAGGAACAGGAATGCCATTCCCCTCCCTCCTTCTGCTCCCACCTTCTTGCTCTCTCTTGCTCCTGCAAAGTGATTCTTTCTAGACCGAGTGCGAGACTTTGCAGAATTGTCTCTTTCACACACACACACACACACACACACACACACCCCCAAGAAACCTCCATGGGGGACCAGTCAGCCCTAGGAACAAAAACTCCCCATGCTGCCAGAAAGGAAAACACAGCTGGCTTTGGAGCCTGGCACTCCAACCCTTGCCTCTGCTGTTATCCAGGCCATTTTTACGCTCAGAACATCCCTCCCTCTCTCCAAGCATTCGCAGGCAGGCGCTTTCTCCTCCAACTGGATTCCTTTTCCTAACTAAGGCAACAGCCAGGATTTGCCTCTGTCTGCAACTGCGAGAACTCTACCAGATTAAAGGTGCCCCATTGTGCAGGCAAGGAAGGCAAGGCAATTCAACCTCCCTTCGGGGTCTCAGCAGAGCTTTATAAGTGCACTCCTTGCTGAAATATTATAGCCACACAGAGGATGGTTTCCTCCTTCAGGTTGGAACTGGAAGTCCTTGAGTTCCTTGTCCCGGGAAGCAAAAGCTGTGATGGGACCAGGGGAATCCCCATAGATCCCACTCTGCTTCCTCTCAAAGGGCAGATTTGGTGACCCATTCACCAACACACAAAACAGGATGGCAGATGCTTATCACTCTTCCTTTCTCTAAATAAACGATTCGGAAACTGAGTCCCCGTTTATCTGGGTTAGTGGCAGAATATGAGTTAGATATTCAGCATTGGAGATTTACAGCCAGGGCTAACTGGCAAGTTCACAGGAATGAAGTTCCTCTGAAGCAGCAGCAGCAGCAGCAGCTCTTCCTACTAGGGTAAACAGCTGCACTCCTACCGCGGACCGAAGGCCAAGCCCTCCCAAACCCCGAGGGGTCCTTGGTGCTCTCGGAGCTTTACTGGCACTCCACCACCTCCCCGCTGGGCGATCAGCGCGGGGGCTCCGCAGCCTCTGCTCTGCCCCGGGCTGATCACCCGCGGACTAAGCCCCCCCGGGGGTGTTTTCGGCCCCGGGGGGCGGGAGGGCAGCCGGGGGACCCTCCAGTCCGGCCCGTAGGGAAGCGGCGAGGGGCGCGGCGGGGCGAAGCCAAAGGGGGGCTTCCCTGCCGACGCGGCCATCCGAGGCGCCCCTCGCGGACCTGAGGGGAGACGGACCGGCCCCTCCGCGCCGAGCAGCCCCACCCGCTGCCTTCCTCCGGCGCTGCCCCCTTGCCAGGCGCGGCGCTCGGAGGTCTGCTAGTCCGACCCCACCCCAGGCACGAGACCCTCCGCCGTCCCGGCGATGCAGCGCTCGCAGGCGCGGAGGGGGGGAGAGGCCAGCCTGGAGGTGGAGTCAGCCCGCCCCGGCAGCCTTCGGAGGGAGGGTAGGAGCCGCCCCGGGCCGCCGGCCTCCCCGCTAAGCAGCGCAACCGCGCCCGTCAGCCTCACCTGCCTCGCCTCGCCTGCCGCGGCGGCTGCTGCTCCTGCCGGCCCACCCCCCGCCCTCCGCCCGCGCGCACGGGGACACGCGCGGACACGCGCCCAGAGCCACCGGCAGCCAAGCCGGGATGGAGGAGCCGCCCCCCCGCTCGCCTCCATCCCCCGCCCGCCCGGCTTCTGCGGGGCTGCCGGGAAGTGCAGTTTCCTCGGCCAAGGGCTGGAGGGGAAGTGGGAATCTTGACAGAAGAGGGCCAGCCGTGCGTCCATCCTAGCGACTTCGCCTTAATTGCACCGGGCCCGCGCGGCTTTGGGTGGAGGCAGCGTCAAGGTCCGGAAGTTCAACATTTGTAGTTCTTGCATGGGGTTGCACTACCTCAGACAGACATGGTCCACGACTTGGGGGTTCCACAACTCAAAGAGCAGGTGACAGTTTTGGCTAGTGGAGTCTTCTGTGGCTTGTGAGCCAGTTGTAGCCTCTCCTGAATCAGGAGTCCCTCATTCAAGCCCTGGTCATCCCACGCCTGGACTACTGCAATGTGATCTATGTGGGGCTACCCTTCAGGAGCATTCAGAAGCTACAATTGCTGCAGAGTGCAATGGCACAGGCAGTCTTTTGGGGCCCTCAAGCGGCCCATGTTACACCACAGTTGCAAGAGCTGCACTGGCTGCTGATTTACTTCCAGGTGCAATTCAAGGTGTTGGTCACCATCTTTAAAGCCTGCCTGGCATGAGGAACTGTCTCACCCCAATGGGTCTGGCCCACCCCACCTGTGCCTGCAAAAGGGCCATGCTGTGGACCCCATCAGTCAAGGAATTTTGGTTGGCATGGTCTAGAAGAATCTTCTCTGCCGTGGCCCTGGCACTTGTCCCCCCGAGGTGAGATCAGCTCCCATCCTGGCCTTGAAGACCAGGGAGCCCCATGGGGAAATTTCACACTGGAGGTGGTTGATCGATTAACATCAGTTCCCACCTAATCACCCCCCCAGTATATTCTTTTCCTCCCCATCTTTAGTTATAACTTGTATGTTATTGTAATGTATTTTATATATTTATGGTTTCATTTTAATGTTGTAAGCCAACAGAAAATAAATACTTGGCAAAATATATTTTTCTAGAATCCTTTTTCACCTAAAGTGTTAATACTACTTTATAATGCACTCATACACCACACCTGGAATACTTCTTCCTGTTTGGGTCACCACAATATTAAAAAGGTATTGAGACTCTAGAAAGACTGCAGAGAAGAGCAACAAAGATTAGGAGACTGGAGGCTAAAAAAAATACTAAAAATGGTTGCACAAATTGAGCATGTCTAGTTTAGAGAAAAGGACTATGGGCAATATAATAGCAGTGTTTGAAGAGCTATCAGAAAGAGGAATGAGTCAACTTATTTCCCAAAGCTCCAGAAGGCAAAACAAGAAACAATAGAAACTAATAAAGGAGAGAAGAAGCAACCTGGAACTAAGGAGAAACTTCCTGATGGTGAGAATAATTAACCAATGGAATGGCTCACCTCCAGAAGTTGTGGGTGGTCCAACACTGGATGCTTTTAAGAAGAGATTGGACAGTCATTTGTCTGTAATGGTACAGAATCTCCTGTTTGTGCAGAGGTTGGATTAGAGCCATGCTGGCTCAGGAATTCTGGGAGTTGAGGTCCATGAGTCATAAAAGAGCCAAGGTTGCCTACCCCTGTACTATTCTCTTATTTCCAGGTGGTCTCCTGTCCAGGAACAACTGACACGCGACTATCGACTTACAGAAAGGCAGCTCTAGAATTCCATAAATTTCTAGGGTTTTCCCCCCCTTTCCGCGGAGGGTGGCAGTCGTCACCTTCCCATTTCACCCTTTATTGTCCTGGAAACTGCCAAGCCAGCAAAAAAAAAAAAAAAATCTAAAAGAGTTTCGACCATATAATTTGATCCTCGGCAACCGCCGTAGCCACAACTCCCAGCGGAAAAGATCATCGAGCTCTTCTAAAGACAGAAGCCGTTCCCTGCGCTGGCTTCCGGTTCCTGCTAGAGAAACGGGTGGGAACCTTTTGCGAGAACAGCGTGGACGGAGAGTGTCTGGAAAAGACGGGCCGCTTCTGCTTCGAATTCGAAAGGCGCCCGCGCCGTTCAGAATCCTCGGTGGTTCCTTTTCTTTACCTCGGGTGGTAAAAGAGGCGCCCGGAAGCGTCTTTGTGGCCGGAAGCTGCAGCTATTGCGCCTCGGAGGGGCGGGGCTTCAGCGACGTGTCAAAGGTCAGTAAATATTGGTGACGTCAGGTGACCAAGATGGCGGAAGGGTGAGCTTCAGCGAGAGCGTTGGGGGCGGCGCCGCTGCGAAGGGGCCGGGCGGGGGAAGGAGCGTGGGCTCTCTGGGCATGTGAAGAGCGCTCGGCCCTTCCTTTGCGGGATCTTCGCGGCCTGGTTGCGGAAATGAGGCGCTGGCGCTGCTGGGAGAGCCGGAAGATGAGCTGCGGGGCTCCTCTGGGGAGAGGCGGGGGGCCGGGGTGAGGAGGGGGCCCTGGGAAGGCGGGCGTGGCGGGGGTGGGACAGACGCTGAGGAGGGTCGCCCGTCCTGTGGCGGTGCCCGGAGGGTCCCGGAGCAGCCTGGAGAGCCACGCTGGGCAGCCTGACCTCCCCGGCAGGCCGTCTGGTAGTCTGGAAGAGCGGGCTGGGTGGGTAGGAAGAGTCCAGTCCTCTTGGCCGGCCGTTTTGCGCTGAAAGCTCGTAGGAGCCGGAAACAGTTCTTAAGTCGTAAAGTTCGGACATCAGCTCCTTTCTGACACATGGCAGATTGAGGTTAAATGTTGCCTTTGCTAAAGCAGCGTTTCTCTGCCAGAGCCAGGCTGGGGAATTCTGGGAGTTGAAGTCTCCACCACCACCACCCCCATCTTAAAGTGGCCGAGGTTGAGAAACTTTGGGTTAGAGCAGGGGTAGGCAACCTTGGCTCTTTTATGACTTGTGGACTTCAACTCTCAGCTGGCTGGCTCAGGAATTCTGGGAGTTGAAGTCCACAAGTCATAGGTTCCCCACCCCTGGGTTAGAGGCTGGTGAGTCCAGTAAACCTACATCCTCTTTCTGCCACCCAGACTAAATTATATGCTGAAGTATGGGCTCACAGCCTAATTTTCTTCCGTGCTACTAGAAGAATTGATGTTTGTTTTGTTGTTGCTTTTTTACATATGGCAAATTCGGAAAGCTTGAATTTGGTGCCAAAACTAGAGTCGTACCTTACAGTACTCAGTCAATATCACTGTGGACATTTGTATTGTCATCATCTTTGAATATTATTGATGTCCTGCTTTTCATAACTCTGCTCCTCAATTCTAATTGGGTTTATTTAGAAGCAAATCTCACTGAGATCACTCAGTTTGTTACCCATTAAAAGAAAAATTAATGTTTAATATCTGCTAATATCTCATCTAGGTTTTTTTTAAAAAATCAAACATACCAAATAATAATGATTGTGAAATTAATTCATACAAGGTCCTGGGATATTGATTAGTTTAGGATTGTTGAAAATGCTCCAGTTGATAGGATTTAAGTAATCCACCAAATGTTAAAACAGAGTTAGAAACTATTCAGCTTTATATGTTTGTCCTGTAACAGGGAAGATGGAGGCTGGTGGAGGAGCTGGCTACAGCAAAGCCTTCAAACGGTCAGAGAGAAGGTAGGCAGAATTTTTGGAATTACACAAATAGAGCAATGGCCTAAAGGAGCAACCTTGGGGCTGCTTCTTAATTTTGAGGTATATTAATTACTTGAACTCTTTGTTGAAAACAGTATTTTTTTAACTTCTATAACTCTGGTTTTGCAGGAAAGACTTTGTTTGTTCTTTGCATTGGAATGGGCTGAGAGGGGAATCCAGACTTGAAACTGGGTCTGCTCACAAGCTGCTTCTCCCTGCTTATCTTTTCTTCTCTCTTTTCCCCTCCACCAGACTTAGAATTAGTTTGGTGCGTGTGGCAAAGTGTTGGACTTCAAACGATGAGATGCCAGTTGAAATTCCTGTTTGTTGACAAACTTGTCAGGTGGCTTTGAACAAATCACCTGTCTTTACTTCCTCTAGTACTGAAGTCTGGTTAATAATAGTGCCTTACTCATGTTTGTTATGAATCCAGTAATGACTCTAAGCTATTTTGGTTTTTAAAAGCTTCTCCCATCCATTAAGTACCATTTAAAAAGCATCCAGAACTCCATCTTGTTGCCGGCCAGATGCTTAACTTTAAAACATTAAGGTAGAACATGCTAACTTGGCTGGAAATTGTGTTCTCCATTCTGCGCATAAATCTTGAAATTGCAATACATGAGTACAAATTAGGCACTATTATTATTAATTTGAGCATCTATGGAGATTCTCAGTCATCCAGATCATGGTTGTCACAAAGATGCTTTTTTTAAAAAATACCTTTGGGATATTAATTTGAGCCTTTTTCAAACTGAATGGAAAAATGTATCTTTACTTAATGTATTGGAATAGAAACTGTGCAATAAAATGACAACTCAGCCATCAGATATCTAGCTTTGATTTTTTAAAAGATCCTGTTGTATTCTTTTACTGGTCATGCATTGAAGTGATCAGAAATTTCTGCCTTGACCCTTGCCAGATCCCTGCACCTCGTTTAATTAATAGCAGCTGTTTGAAATTCTGTAGAAACTCTGGCTTACCACACAAGAGTCAGTGCACCCACTCTCTCTCTCCACAGTCTACAGAGGCTTTGGAGTTCATGAAACGTGATCTGACAGAATTCACCCAGGTGGTCCAACATGATACAGCTTGCACCATTGCTGCTACTGCCAGTGTGGTCAAAGAGAAGTTGGCTGTAAGTAAAGGGCTCGTTACTGAGATGGAGGGACGCATAGCAAGGGAAAATACTGGCAGAGTTTCTTTTGTTTTAGTACATTTTTATCAAATAGGCTCCTTATTGCTTTGACATATAACTTGGCTCTTGATTCAGCTTTGTAGGAAGCTACCATCTCTGTTTCCCATGGTTAATTTTTTTTTTGTTTTGTTTCATTGTCTCTTTTTGTGTATGTAAAGACGGAAAGCTCTTCGGGGGCAACGGAAAAAGTGAGAAAAGGACTCTCCAACTTCTTGGGTGTTATTTCAGACACATTTGCTCCCTCCCCAGATAAGACCATTGACTGTGATGTCATAACCCTGATGGCAACTCCATCTGGGACCACAGAGTTGTATGACAGTGCCAAGGTACACTGCAGCCCCCCTGACCCTAAAATGGAGCCCCTCCCCCTACGGTGAGCGCCTCTTGTTCCTATAATTTCTCCCGTCGGTTCTCTTCTAGGCTCGACTCTATAGCCTCCAGTCTGACCCAGCCACTTACTGCAACGAAGCTGATGGTAAGTGGAGAGGTAATTGGAGGCAGGGAAGACGAGAGGAGGGAGCTGTATAGAATTCAGTCCTTCTGGAAAATAGGGGAGCCCTCTGCAAGACAATGAGTGCAGGTCGTGTCACGTTTTTAGAGTTCATAAAAGCAAACCGTTCAAGAGTACAAGCCGCTGTTACAAAAAACAAGTCTCTAGCCCTCAGGTCTACAATAGAAAGAGGCTGGCAGGCAGGTGATCTTATAATGGGAGGCCAAGGTTCATTCAGCCACAACCGTTATTCATGGTAAAAGTCTGAGAAATTTCTAAAGGAGTCATTGCAGGTGACATCCAAGCTGCATTTGAAGCGTGTTTTTTTTTGGGGGGGGTGCTATTTTTTTCCTCATTGCTTTCCCTTTGCCTGATCCCAGTGCCTCCCACTTCAGTTCTCTGAATGGTTTCCTGGCGAGGAGATCGGAAAATCACAGGAAATTGGCCAGGCTGGGAGATGGACCTAGAGTGACTGGGGGGGTTTGCCAAGACTCTTCAGATTGCCTCTTCCATCGCTTCCAAGCGGGAGGGCAGAGAGGGACCACGTCCCATGTTCCCCTCTCCTGTCGCGTGGGTGGTGTCGGCGTGTGCACATTGCTCTTTAGCATTAAAGGTGATAGGGTACTGTCTGCTGTGGTAAGCCAAGCCTGCTGTCAAATTTCTCAGTAAGGAAGGTTAGTGAATTGTGATGTTTTATTCTAGGAAATAAAAGATAGAGTATAATAATACATTTGTTTGCATATTGTAGTTATGGAATTCACTGTTGTCATCTTATAGTGTATTTTGATCCCTGGACAGGACACCTCTTCTGTCTCCCATGCCTCCTCTTTCTAGCATGCTTTTTTAGAACCTTGGTTTGATCCATCAGACTCTTCCTGTCTTACCATTTAAGTCTGTAGCTTTCCCAGTAAAGGAGGAGGATCAGCTTTGAGAAGAAGTCCGTGTACTTTGATCGGAAGGTAGGGTTGTGGCATCAGGTCCTTCTTTGTCAGTGAAGAAAATGAGATTTAGTTTTATGGGCTGAGGAGGCTTGTGTGATCGTGACTATTATCCTTGTTTGTCTTGGCATAGCTGTGATGGTTTGGTGGATGTAGTATTTTCTCCTGCAGGACCACCTGAGCTGTTTGAGGCCTGGCTTTTGCACTTCAGCTTGGAGGAGAAGAAAGGAGAGATATCTGAGTTGCTGGGAAACAGCCCGTCCATCCGCTCCCTCTACTCCAAGATGGTAAGCTTGGCTCCTTGACCTCCTCTGTCTTTTCTTCAAGCCAACGGAGAGGTTCGTTGTTTGAAAATATCTGTGGCATTATACGCTCCTTTAACTTGTTTACCAGGTCAGTGTGTGATCTGTTTGTCTCTGCAGAATATGTTGGAAAGCACTGGAATTTTCCTTGCCAAGAAGCAGCAGAATTGAGGGAGAAATGTTTTTTTTTCATCTTCTGGGTTTTGCTCTTAGAATTGCTGGAACAGTTTATTTATATGCAAATATCTCTGTCCATTTGTGGGTCATCCCTAGAGGAAGGGTTAATGCACAGAGCCATAAAGGCTGGGTTGCAAGTGTGGCTCTCTTGCATCTTGGGTGAAACAAAGCCAAGAATGGTTTAGGAACGTTTACGCTTTTCCCCCTCTGATGGCCTTAGGTGCCTGTGGCCGTCTCCCACTCAGAATTCTGGCAGCGGTACTTCTATAAAGTCCACCAGCTGGAGCAGGTGAGTTTGCAGAAACACTCTGGTTTCAGTTAGCTCAGTCTTTGTGTCCCAAGTTGAGTATTGAGTTCATTAGCCGAACCAGAACCAAAAGGCACTCAGGCTATACTTCTTATGCAATTTATAATTTACTGAAGTGCTGGGCACATAATAGGGAAAGACAACACGTTTGTTCCTCTCTTGCACACTTCTGGTGATATTTCAACACCCTCCACTTGAGAAAATGTCTCCGGCCCTTTCACCTTGCTTTGAAGTTCTGATTATTTATCCTCAGTGTGAAATTTGCCTTCGACCTAGCTCTGTTTTCCTCTGCTTACATCACATACACACAGACACACACATTCCACTGCTGCTTTTGTGTGCTGTTGGGTTTCTTGGCTGTGCCTGGCAGGAGGCCCCTCTTCCTCCCTCTCCCCCAATGGGCCAATGGGTTTTGCCCGGAAGCTGCGGTTGTGTGCGTGCTCGCTCTCGCTCTTTGTCCCCCTCTGGCAGCAGAGCCAGTCGGAGGCCTGCTGACCGTTGTGCGCATTCTCTGTCATCCCAGGAGGAGCTCCGGAGGGAGGCTCTGAAGCAGCGGGCAGAACACGGTGTTCACTCAGAGGATCCAGGATGGGAGGAAGAGGAGGAAGGTAAGGCAGCCATAAGCTCCGGCCGTTCCCTGACAGGGCCTGGTCCTTTGGGGACTCCTGCCGGGCGGCCGCTCAGTTCCTTGCCTGCGAGAGGTTCTGCCTCATTCTTTGATCTGCAGAGAAGTCACAACGTCCCCACAGAGTTATGTGATTGGAATTTGTTAACTGCCATCTATTTATGCTAGTTGCCGTGTCGGCCATTTGCAACCTTCCAACAGTCAAAGTCAATGGGGGAAACTGGACTTGTTTAATGACCACACGATTCACTTAACAACTGCAGCCATTCCTTAACTGTGGCAAAAAAAGCTATAAAATTGCACCTTGCTTAACAAAGGACGTTCCGGTCCCAACTGGGTTTGTAAATTCGAGGACTCCCTGTATTGATTTACCTCATTTTGTTTTCCTGACATTGGTGTTTCTTCCTCTCTTGACACAGAACAATTTCTTGGATCCTCTTCCTCCTCCTCACAAGCTGTCATCCAGGGAGAGGCTTCCCCCATCTTGGCCGCAGAAGCCGTTCCGACACTGGAGGCCTCGGTGGAGATGTGGGCCACGCTGAGCCCCACCCCGGTGGAGGCGACCCCCTCGGAAAGCAGCGAGAGCGTCTCTCTGGTGACTCGGATCACAAACCCCACCGCTGGGCCTGCCTCCCCCTTACGGACTGGAGCCCCACTTGCAGGAGCTGAGCGGGACGATTCTCCGAAGCCGCAGGAAGCCAGCAGAGAGGAGCAGGGAAGCTCCTTGGCTAACGCAGGGGAGCTTCTGCAGCCTTCTCCACCTCCCCAGGAGGCCACGGCCTCTTCAGAGCAGCCTAAGCAGCGCCCAGAAAGCAAGTCGGCCAGCAGGACGGAGACTCCGCGAGAGGAGGCGCCTCTGGACTTGCGGCTCTTTGAGCTCAACTCGGACAGCGGGAAGTCCACACCATCCAATCACGGGAAGAAAGGTGAGTAGCTGGAAACCTTCTGCTTTTTCTAACCGTGTCTTAGTTGTGTGTGTGTGTGTGTGTGTGTAGCTCTCAACCTACAACCATAATGGAGCCTGCCCACCTCAGTTGTAAGTCATGATGGTCATAAAGTGGGTCGCCCACATGACTGAGCCAATTTTATAATCTTTTTTTATAGCGGTCATTAAGCAAATGCCACGGTTCTTAAGCAAACCAACAATTTGCTGTGGCCGGTTTTGCCAAAAACCAGAAATAAAAGCTGTTGCAAAGTCCGCTCATGCACCTGTGTGACTTTGGGTGGTCCCAGGGGTGGTGGGGGCACTCGGGACCTGAAATCGGAGAAGGCACAGACTGCCAATAGGGCGGGAAGGGATGTTGATAGAAGTGACAGTTGGAATTGTCAGTTCAAGATCCTTTTCAAGGATTCTGGCAAAATAGCCGGGCTGCTGCATTGAAGAAGGCTGCTTGTCAGGTGGTTTTCATGAATCTGACATCCGCTAATTGTGGTACGCTGCTTGCTAAATGTTCATTGTTAGATTAGAAAAGCCTGCTTTTGCAGCGGAGCATGTGTGGCGTTTCCTTTCTTGTTTCAGGCTCGAGCACAGATATAAGTGAGGACTGGGAAAAGGACTTTGACCTGGACATGACAGAAGAAGAGGTTCAGCTGGCACTTGCCAAAGTAGATATTTCTGCGACGGAGGTAAGCCCTCGGGATAGTCCGATGCAACTGAGGAAGTCCTGAGGAGAAGGGTAACTTGCATAATACTTTCTCTTTGCTGGACCTTAGTTGTGCAGAAGAAAACCCATTCGGCATTCGACATGTGCATTACATAAAATCTCATTAAAGAACTTTTGGCTAGCACAGGCAACTCATCCCCATTTTGGCCTGTTAATTTGAGGGTTTAGTTATATGTGGGAACGGCAAGAAGCAGCAGCATTTGGTCAGGGTTCCCATTTGACTGATAAGGAACTGAAGCTGGGAGTGTGCCAAATGACTCTCCTCTCAGACATGCAGAGAGAAATGTGATGTTGATGGCACGGTCCATATTTTCTCTGAGTTCTTGTCTCCGTTGTAGAGAAGCCGTGAGTTGGATTGCAGCCTTAAAGGGATGTTAAAAAGAAATTTTGGGGGGGTTCCCACGTGTTTCTGTTAATGAGGGATTGGAACTTTCTGTTAAAAAAAATAATTTTTGTAAAGGAGAGCAGCCATGTGCTAAAAGCAGTTCTTGGAATTTGCTTCTGGCAACCAGGAACATTGAATGCTAGTCAAAATTAGAGATACATATTTCAGAATTCTAAACAGTCCCGCCTGCCTCTCTCTTCCTGCTCCCTCTTTTAATTACAGGTGATTCAACTATATTTGCCGATTCAGTCCGAGGTGTAGATGGCTTTTCCCCTCTATCAGGGCAGTTTATATATGGTATATATTTCAATATAAAAGGGCGTTCAGTACAAATGGGAAAGAGTTTCAGATGAATGTGTGCATGTGTTCATCTAAAAGTCTTTTCCATTCATAGTGAGCTGCCTTTTATATTGTAATATACACTCCTAGTAAACACTCTGATTGGGGGAATAATATCTTGAGCAGGCACAACATTGAAGCTAAAGTGTGGGCAAGATAAAATTACAATCTTTGTTTAAAAGTATCTTGGCTTGAATGTTAAGTTGGCCAACCAGTTTAACAACTAAAGTGCTTAAATGACGATCCAATTTGGTACATTGTGGAATTCCTGCCAGGGTTTCCACTGGATCGCTTTGTAACCTCATGTCTACAATGACACCTTTGTTGAACACACCCTGTCTCTTTGTCTCTCCCGTTTGCAGATGGAGGACGAAGAATGGGAGAACTGGGAATAACGAGGGCCTTTGCTCTCCCTGGGCTCCTTGGACTCAGCCTTGCCCCCACCCCCCCCACCCCCAGACCACCCAGTGTGAATTAAATCACAGACCAATTGGTTCCTTTCTCTCCTGTAAAAGTGTTTTGGACTGGCTACACCTCATCTCTGCGCAAGTCCTCCTTGGGAACTTGAACTGGAACCCTGGCTCAGATCCCGATGGTGGCTAAGTTGTACAGAGGGGCTGAAGAGCAACAGCGTCAAGGGTGCGTGTGCTGGGGGCCTCTGTCTCCCCCAAGCAGAACGGATTTGATTTCATTCTCACTTCTTTTGGCATTTTAGGGTGGATTAGAATGGGATGGGATGAATTATCCCGGTTTGAGTGATCTTCAGAAATAGTTGGGATTATTCTACATGTCTCTTTTCAGTCTGATAGCTTGCTAGCTATGCCATGTTACTGTATGTGTCTTGAAACCCACACAACTTCTAGGGATTTGCAGGAGCAAATCTCTTTGCTTACCTGTGTGAACTCCAGTCTTAAGAAGACGCTCCGAGGCATTTCTGGACCCTACAGACCCCTCTCCCAGCTCATAGTGCCTGGTTTGGAATTACCTTTTGCATAAATGAACCCATCTCTCTTCATGTATCCCCAAATGTAAGCTGGTCCATTTTTCCTGGGAAGTGAAGCATTTTTTTCAAATGAAATTATTGTTCCGAGGGCTTCCTCATTATGTAATCCCACAGAGTATCTTGCATAAGTTCCAGTTATGGAGGGGGAAAGAGGCACATTCCTCCTGGGTTGTCACAATCATGGCTAAGATCTCTTTGAAAGGGCCCCAATTTTTTTGGGGGGGGGGTTTTGCACATCCCTTGAGCCAGTGCTCTACAGTGTTGCTTGGACTGAAGTATCCCTTGCCTCATTAAGAAGAGGCACCCTAGATTTTCCCGGAAGCATCTTCATTTGCCAAAGCTTCATAACCGTCTGTCTTCCCCTTGCATTGATCCTCTTCCATAGACAGAAATGCTTGGGAAGCAACATGCTTGGGTGAGAGTTTGAGTGCTCCACTTCCTTATCCATCTTCTCTCTAAATAATCTGTACAGGCATCTTCTCTTTTTTTTTTAGGGAAAATGGGGGGGCAGAGTGATGCACCCCCCTTTTGATCTGCTTGATTTAGTTGTTGCTGCATTGCAGTGGAGTCTGACTATAATTAAGTCTCACTTTAGAATTCATCATGCTTTTTTTAAAAAATGGGTCCAAAAGGCAGATTTATCTTCTGGAAGTACAATACACCAAGAGGTCTTTCTCGACACACCCAACTGAATTTGAATGGAACCGATGCCGGCTCATTGAAGTGGGTCTGAAGCCAACACCTCTCCCTGGTGGGACAAGATCCCTGGTTTAACTCGTCTGGGAAGGATTCAGACTGGAGCCATCCCCCTCCTTTTGACCCCAGTGCATCTGCATGACAGCAGCAGCCAGTAACCCTGACAGCTGCTCTGACCGGGCCGTCTCTCCCTCCCGCGGTGCAGCGTTCAGAGGGGTTCCCAGAGGGCCAGAGAGGGAGGGAGGAGTTGCCGCTGCTCCTCTCTTTCCTCTTTCTTGTTATAAGCAGCAGCTGAGGGAGGAAACCCCTTGAGAAGGAGACTCGGTGTGCAGGGTTGAGAAGGGGAACATGGTGCCTGTGGAAGTTGTTTGGTCTCGGAGTCACTGAGGTGTTTCTGATAAGGTAAAAGACTGGCTTTTGGGGCTCCCCTGTGCCACCAGATCATGAAAATCAGCATGTGTCTGAAGGACAATTGACTTAGGAGTCATCCCTGAAACTAGAAGAAATTAAAGAGGAAGAGAGATTTCCAAATTGGTCATCTGTGGGAAATGTGAGCAAGGATGTGATTCGGCCAGTGGAAAGCGACTTCCTCTGCATGCAGGTGGCCCTGTGAAATTGAAGGAGTGTGGATAGATGTGTGACAATCCATGAACATGGCTTAATCTGAAGAGCTGCTAGCCGCTGTGATTGAAAATGACAGCTGGGCTACTTAGCCAACTAAATGAAGGCTTGCAGTTCTGGAATAATTTAGTGCTTAAAGATGAAGATACTTGCATTGTACTAGGGCCAGTTTCATCACTCCTGGGAAAGCTGCTCTTTGGATATATCAGACTAAGCTTTCTGGATCAGGAGAATATTTGTCTTGAACTCTGGTGATTTCTCCTAAAGGGCTGAGCAACCTCTAGTGAGGGTGTAAAATGCATAAAGAGGCCCATCTGGACCAGGCCTCATTACTGGATGGTTCAGATTCTAGAACAGCTGATAGGTGAATATGTGAGGAAGATGGTCCTTGGAAAAGCACCCCTCCTTCCTCGGCTCTAAGGGTTTGTGGTGATGGGACAGAATAGGGTAGCCTAGAGCAGCGCTTCCCCACCTTAGCAACTTTTAAGGTTTGTGGGCTGGCTCCCTTTGATGAGACGGACAGCCCGAGATGCTTTGCCATCCACAGGAAGGGCTCCCCATTTGTGGCAAGTTGCCAAGGTTAAGAAACGTTGCTCCAGAGTCCAGTCTTGGTGCCGGGAGACATCCGGGGGCTCCAGTTTCACCATAAGTACTTTGTTTTCTTTTTCTTGGTTGTGCAATATTATCTCACGTTTAAATTATATGGCATCTCCCTGGACTGTTCTCTAGCTGGGGTGAACAAGTGACACTAACAGCTGTTAGTTTTGTAATTATGACTTTGCCTTTTACAGATTTGCCATTAATGGCAATTAAAGGAGTTCTACAGAAACAATTTCATATGGGTTTTGTGATTTTTTTCCCCCCATCCTCTGTAATCTTCTGAGCAAATACCTCGGGTGGCCTGGGCCCTTATTCTGTGCCAGACACAATGAGTGCAAGGAGCATTGCCGCAATAGAACTTGGCAGTGCCCGGAGGATTTGATAAGACACACTTGCTGATCAGCCAGCCAGAAGGCCAAGGCCGGTGAGGCTCACACGCCCCAACCTCTCTCGCCAAGTTCATAAAGTGAAAGATGTTGGACTCTAGCTCTCCCCCAAAGCCAGCCAGGCCACTGGCTGTGCTGACGGAAGAGGGCAACGTTGTGGGACCAAACCTCTAACAGGTGCTGCAGCTTTTCAGGAGCCTTGTTCCCTTGCTAGCGTCTGGGAGCTCTCCCAGTATATTAGAATTCAAACCACTTTGAATTTGAAATGCCCCATTCTGAGTGTGAGTTACTCTGGGAAACAGGCTCTTTCATTAATTGAGAGAGGCGTGTGTCTCAACCTCTAGTCTTTCCCTCTTGAAACAACTGATCCGTTCCCCACGTTTTCAAGATGGCCTGTTTTGCACTCAAAGTGGGGTTTCCAGTTTGACTCTTTTCAAATTCAAAACATTTTGTGTACTACAGAACAAATCCTGGAGAGGCCGTCACTTGTTGGAGCTCATATTTTGTATAGCTGAGCTCCACGTTCAGTTCCTGGTAGTCTCCAGGTTCTTTATTTCTGTCTTGGGGGCTCAGAAAAGGTCTGTCTTAGAACATACCACATCCTCCTCATCCCAAGATATGTGGAAACTTTGGCTAGGAATTCTGAGATTGGTCATTTTGACCCCTCTGGAAGGCACCAGGTTGGGAACAGAGTTGTTCTAGCAGCTCATTTGGATTATAATGCTAGATGGATCAGTACGTTGGCTTGGTGCATGACAGCACCTCCTTCCCTTTTCCAACTGGGATATTCTGGAGACCAATGGATGGTGTGTTATTGAAGAACGGCCCAGGAGGAATCCTATGGGAGATTTCTTAGATTTAACATTGCAAAGTGATTCTGTGTGTCTGAGAAATAAATTTCAGCAAGGAAACACCTTCACACCATTTTTCTTGGTCTGACTAATTTCTAACCACCCGCGCAGTCATCTTTGAAGAAGGGAATGCAGTTCCTGACGAGAGGGGAATGTTTAAAATGCCTCTCGGTGGATTAAGGATAGACTAGAAACTGAGATAACGTTAAAATATATGTGAGCATTTTGGAAACAGCCTGTCCCCTTTTATTTGGGGAGAATTTCGACACGGTCCCATCCTCAGGAACTTGCTAACCATGGGTGCCAACTCACTTCTTCGATGGAAGGCCTCAGGATCATGTCTGGTTCCAGGAGGCTTTTGAGAAGGTCTTGGCATTCCTCAGAGATCCCCAAGTGGCCGGGGATGGAGACCCCTTTCTGTTGATGGCAAAGCATCTTGGGAATGTCTGTGTCGTCAAAGGGCAGGTTGGCACAAAGCATGACGTAAAGGACCACGCCCATGCTCCACACGTCGCCTTTCCTGCTGTCGTGGGGCACCCCCTGCAGCACCTCGGGGGCTGCGTAGGCCGTGCTGCCACAGAAGGTCTGGCTCAGCTCCTTGCGGTTCTTGGGGAGCAACTTGGCAAATCCAAAGTCTGTCAGTTTCAGGTTGAGCCCCTGCAGCAGGGCATTTTCACACTTGAGGTCACGATGCGCCACCCCACAGCTGTGGCAATAGCGGATGGCTTCTACCAGCTGACGGAAGAGCGCTTTGGCCCGGCTCTCGGGCAGAGGTCCTCCTTGCAGGACACAGTCAAAGACATCGCCGTTCTCTGCCAGCTCCATCACCAGGTAGATCTTTCCATCTGTGGACTCCAGCATCTCATACACCCGAATGATGTTCTTGTGGTCTAGGCGCTTGACAATCTGGAGCTCTCGAGGCAGGAATCTCTCGATAAACTCTGGGGAGGCAAAAGACAGAATTGGCCAAAGTCTGAAGACAATCGCTGATGAGAGACGAACACGCTCCTTGCAACGTTCCTGGCTCCCCACGTCATCATTTCCCTTGAGAGGGAGAATGGGTTTTTTCTCATGATGCTGGAAACATTTTTCTCATCATATGTTGATTCGTCCAGAATCCTGGACCTAAATCCTGACTAAAAGTGTAACATGGCATCCCAGTGCTGTTCAGCTAAAGCACCCGGACAAGCCTATGGGGAGTGGGGCATTTAGGGAACACAGGTTCTCAAAACTTTGCAACGCTATGAGCCCTAAAATGAAATTGTATGGCTTCCTTCAATAGAACAAATTGTTTCACTGAGCTTAGGTTGGGCAAGAAATAAACATACACTTTGAATAATGATTTTTTAATCCATCGTGGGGGCTTTCAAACTTTGTGAGACCCAACTACCTACTGGGACTAGGCTAGCTCCTACTCTATCTTTGCAATACAGGTTTAAAAAGATCGCCCCCTCCTTGTTAATGGCCCCAGAAGTGGGTGGAAGATAATAGTTCTGTATCTTTGACACATGCAGCCTCTAATGAATCCAAAGCTTTTTTGCACAAATTATTGAGAGAAACGATCTCTGAGGTAAGTTTATAGGTCAGTATGTTAGCCGAACTCAAAAAAACATTGTTGTGCTAACCATGATAAATCTGTATAAGTAACAACTGCAGTGAAGCTTATACAGTAGTTGACTTTGAATTTATGTCAAACCCCAAGAAGAGGATGGGGCCATCCCCCAAATCCATTGGATTAAATATAGTTTGAATATACAGCAAATGAAATAATGGAAGGATCCCATCAGCTGTATTTCATTATTTTCCTATGGGATCCCATTATATGTTGGAAGTTTCAGATGGTAGGAGGCGACTGGGAAAACCTGCACGTGATCATGGCGAGATAGATGCAGAAGAGACAAAAGTCAGCAAAATTGCAAATATACAACAGACGGTAGAGTGAAAATGCAGAGAGCTATGTTTATAGGGACAACACACAGGAGCATCCACGCGGGGCAGAGAGCAGCAGGTAAAATCACATACACCATGATGACATCATGGAAAGAACACAAATTATTTAATTTGTATTGATGTCATAATGGATTTTATTACTGTATGGTGATGTAGATTTTCTTAGAAGGAGGACACATTTTATTGGAAAGAATATTGCAGTGGGGAACATTTGGCCCTTGGAAACTGAAATCCAATTATTTCTAAAAACATGCCCTCTCCCGTTCCATCTGCTCTGTCATGCTTTCACTTTTTGTGTTCTGCTTCTTACCTTCTGGTCCTCCCAGTTTGTCTATAATTTTCACAGCCACTTTTCGTTGGTGTTTTTTTGAAAAGGCTTCTTTGACCTTTGAATATGTTCCTTCTCCAATGGTTTTGCCCATCTGGTAACCATGGGAGAGAAGAAACTCCTCCATCGTGTCTTTCACTCGCTCGTCTGTCATTCTCAGGACATCCTGTCATCACAAAGTCTATACATCGCTGTCCTTCTCCACCCAGGCCAGGGTCTGCATTGGCTGCAGCCCAGGATGCTAGATCATTTTTTCCTGCCCAGACAAGGTCCTTCGATGAGGGGTGAAACTGAGATTGGACATCTTGAAACTTGAGCCTCCATTGTGATGCAGCCTTGTGTTACCTGAAGACCAGGGGGGCAGGTAGGGACTTGGCACCAATGAGAGGCAGGCACACATCCTCCTCAGGAGAAGAAGGGTTGCTCCAGGCCTGACCCTTCAGGGGGGTGATGGGTTAACCTAACAAGAGGCCTAATGCTGTGAGGCCTCGGGTAAGAAATCATCGTAGCTCGTATTGTAGTGTAGGTAGGGCTAATCAGTATCAGGGTGAACATGGGTAGTTAAGTTGTCCACACCATGGAAGTCTGCTGGCTTGAAGCTACTTGGCAGGGTTTGGGCCTAGCTACATCAGGCAAGCCTTAAGAGTAAGTATCATAAGTCCCTCAAACTCTGTCTTATTTAAGATAATTTCTTAAGGAGTTGTACCCGTTGGACGTACTAGAAAGAAGCTGAGCTTTACTTATTCATCCAAATTCAGCAATGGAATCGCTTAGGATAGAGAGATTCAACATGATTCAGAAGAGAGTCTTTCCTCAGTCCTGGCTGGGAATTGCAATTACTATATCCAGAGAGTACAAGATTATTGAGAAATCTGATCCATACAGTCTTACATTGACAAAAATAAATCCTGGTTTGGATCTCTGAACTGTGGATAAAGACGCCATCTTTCAACCTAAGCTACTATATGTGAATGTTTTCAGATCCCAACATAAATGATGGCATACCAATCAACAACCACAGCGGCTACAGTTGAATGATGTTAGCAGAATACGGAATAACAGAGTTGGAAGGGACCTTGGAGGTCTTCTAGTCCAACCCCTTACTTAAGCAGAAGAACCTAGACCATTTTAGACAAATGGTTCAGTTCCTTCTTAAAAGCCTCCAGTGCTGGAGCACCCACAACTTCTGAAGACAAGCCATTCCACTGGTTGATTGTTCTTACTGCCAGGAAATGTCTCCTTGGTTCTAGGTTGCTTCTCTCCTTGGTTAGTTTCCATCCTTTGCTTCTTGTCTTGCCTTCTGGTGCTTTGGAAAATTGGTTGACCCCTTCTTCTTTGTGACAATATTGCCTGTCTTGATGAGATCAAATTATTAGGTCAAACATTTGAAATATCACAACAGGAAGCCTCAGTGATCATATCTAAAGCAACAGAGCTCTAGAACTGGTCTATAGGGACATAGGAGAACCTGTGGTAGACAGATATAGAAGCAGACCATTTAAGCCAATCTTTTCTTTCTAAAAAGCCAACTCAGAGTGCATCACAGCAATTCCAAAGTAGGTGTGTTGAGGCACCTCTTCACCCTGATTTCGGTCTTGCTGTCAGGTAACCAGAGTGATTACTTGTGTAGACAAAGACTACCTAAGCTGGACATGAGAGAAACTTAAAACTGGGAAGCCAGGGCCTGGGGATGGCTGCTGCAAGGAAGTCTTTCTACTGTTAGCCAAAGCATCTTTAAGTAAGCATTTACTTTCTAAACCCTTTCAAAGCTCAGTTTCATGGTAGGCCCATCACAAAATTGTGTAGGCCCATTTTTCAAATTGGTGGCAGCTGTTTTTTCTCCAACCAGCGTGATCGTCAGGCTCCTCATTTGTTGTTGCTGGTGGTGGTTGCCAAGCGGTCATAGCTTCGTTCTGTGGACTTCTTTAAGTGGCTTTTTAAATACCATGACTACTTTTGACCAACCTGGAAGCTGCCATCCCTGTATGTTGAGAGCGTGGATTTCATTCACAGCCAGTAGCTTCAATTGAATATTATGACAGTTCAGATCTGGAGAAACTGGAAACGGGCATCACGTTTCTCCTAAGAAATCTCCAACTCCTAAGAGACAATTTAGAGCAGACTCTGTTATTTTTCTCCAGGTTAGGCAGTCTCTTTCAAAAAAAGCCCCAGAACAAGTGTAGCTGCTGTAAGCCTGTAACCCAGGATGACTGGCAATCCACCTCATCAGGGAGAGTTGGGGGGGGGGAGTTAACTTGGACGGGTTGGTTGGCGCTTCCATGCAAACACTTATTTTTTGTTGTGAACTTACAAGTATAAGCAAATTCTTACCTGCCGGTAGAACACAACATTATGTAGGAAGTATTAGTCTCCTTGCCCTGGAGGTTCATCTTTTTTATTATTTATTTAATCTGCGGTGTCCTTGATGCTCTGGAGATGGGTTGTTTCTTGCAGACATTTCGTTACCCAAACTAGGTAACACCATCAGTGCTACTTAAGGAGTGGGGTTTTCGTGGCTTGCCCTGTCGGTGGGCGTGGTCCCGGTGCTTCCTTGATTGGGTTGTTGTTTACTGTTAGCTTGTTGGTTTGAAGTGGTGGTTCCTTGACTGGGGTATTGATTGCTTCTTGATTATTAGTCTAATGTTAATGTTGGTGTTGGCTGTGCTCATCTGAGGTGTTGGCTGCTGACAAAGAGGTATCTGGCTCTTTTGGTTTCCCTTTTGGCTTTTTGATTGTCTCCTTTGAATAGTATAGAGATGTTGTTGGCTCTGTGTGCCTGTTGATTGGCAGGCTTCCAGAAGTTCCCTAGAGCGTTTTTGGACTTGGCTTGGTCTAGGAGGGTCACTTTCCCACTTGCGCCTACGGTTAAGTCCGTCCGTGTGACATAAAATGAAGGAGTTTCAATCATGTCCTCTGACCGCTATTGCTGTTCAGGATGCTCAGTCTTATCAAATTTCTATGCCGCCCATTTTACTGGTACACTGACTCTGGGTGACTTAACAATACAATAAAAAGTTAAAAGGTGCTTAAAAACAATTAAAGGTAGAAAAAAATGAATAAAAAAATTAAAAGTTAAAAACAAAGATGACGGGCGTCCTGAGGAAGAGACGCTTTTTTACCCGGTCAGCCACTCTACCCAGGCCAAGCGGTAGAGCCAGGCTTTTAGGCTTTTCCTATTGATCTTGTTGGCTCCTTCATGGGAGGCTCTGGGCTACCCCCATTCCTGCCCACCACAGGAACGCCTGGAGCAATCCAGGAAGAAGGCTGCCTTTGATGCAAGAGGCTCTCCTTTCCCAGGATCAGGAAAGGAACCGCCTGAAGATGATTGGTGGAGGGCTGGCATTCCTTAGCCTAGAACTCCAAGCAGTGAGAAGATCAGGCCCCATTGTGATGCAGGCGCCTCCCTTGGGCATCACAATGGAAGTGGCGCCCTGGCCTCCCTCTGGGCTCTCTGCCAGCCTGCCCTTTGCAGTAGGCCCTTCAAGCTGTCAGGTCAACTGTAGGGAGCCCTTCTCCGCCGCCTTCCTTCGATAGGTGAGGCCAGGGCAGAGCGGTGGGGAGGCGGAGGCTCAGAGGGTGGCAGGAGGAAAGCCACGGAGCTCCTTTCTGTCCGTGGGGTGGGCAGTGCCTCCCACCCTCCCCTTGCCCCTCAACCAGGAAGGCCTTCAGACTTCGACCCCAAATCCTGGGTTTGAAGCTACCCAGTGAGGACGCTTCTCCTCCAGAAGGTTTCTGTGCCAGGCTCTGGGTGCCGCAAAAGGCACAGGGTCAAAATTTAAATAGCAAGTAGAGCCATTATATGATGGAAAACGGTCAGGATACAGGGTAACACGAGCTGGTTATGTAGAAGTTTCTAATAGTCTGTAATCCCATTAAGGCTGGGCTACATCAATCAGAAATATAGAAGTACTAGGAACCTGCATAGGATCCATCTGTTGCATTCTTTAAAGATGTTTTTTAAATGTTAATTTATAGGCTAATTGACTCTTAAACGTTATGGGTGACTTACAGGTAAAAGTCAAATATTAATAGAAAGACAGCTGACCAGAAGAGCAAAATAAAATAAAAACAAGATCCAAACAAGTCAGATCAAAACAAAAAAACAAAACAAAACAAAAAAACAAAGCAAAACTGGAAGGTGGCTCCTTAGTCACTCAGTCCTTAAGGCCCAGGAGAAGAACCAGGTCTCTCTTGGACGATGCAATGGTGGAACCAGACAAAACTCTGGGGGAGACCACTGGAGAGAAGAGGCCGGGATTCTTCGGTCTCATTTCCAACTCTATCAACTGACTCCCTACTTCTTTTTCCACCACCACCCCATTTATGTGTCAAAATAATTTTGAGACACTGCATGCAAAAAGTAAGATCGCTCAAGTGGGAATACAAAAATCACACTCCTGCAATGGGCTGATGAATGTCTGAGTGTGGGAGCCCCTGAAATTCTTCAGGTCCCTCCATGGGCCCCCTTGTCTTGCCAGGTTAACCGGCGTTGGTTTGCTCTTCTTCGTCCTCTGCCTTGTCCTCATGGCCACCCTTTCCCAAGGCTTTTCTAGGGCCCTTTGGGGGTCTCTGGGGTGATGTGAAGCATTGAACAAAGGAGGGCCCTCGTCTTGCTCACCCTTCTCCTCTTCAACAGACAGGTCTGGGGCTCGGACATGAGCTCCCAAGAGACCCCACAAGCTCGGAGATTCCCAATAGAGGCAGGAGATTCTCCCAGCCTGGCAACGGCCCCCGAAACTCAGGAGCCCGTTGCCCCCGAGCGCGCTGCAACAAGGTGAGCAGAGAGTTGGCAAAGAGAGCAGAGAGTTGGCAAAGAGAAGCAGAAGTGCCCACACTGCTCCTCGTCCTTTAAAGAGAAGTGTGATGGTCATTCCATGGGCTTTGTGTTGGTCCAAGGGTGGGAAAGAGGGTCTCCCTTGGGAAAGAGAAGTGGTCCAAAGGAATACACCAATGTCCTTTTAAGGATGCTGGGTAAATGGCAGCTCAGGGGCGGAATCTTCCAGCAATCCCCAAGCTCCATGTTAACTTTGCTTAGAAAGCAAGCCCAGAGCTGAGCGTAAGAAGGTAGTATTGGAGAACATGGCTGAGTGCAGGCGGTCCCCAACCATTCATTTAGCGACTAAAGTTACAACGGTACTGAAAAAAGTGACTTACAACAAGTTGTTGTGCTCACAAGCATCACAGCATCCCCACACTGATGTGATCAAAATTTGGGGGACTCATCACCTGGCACAAGTGGAAATTATGTTGGTGCTGTATATGGTCCTTTGTTTTGCAGCACCTCAGTTTCCCATGTATTTAATGGTTGTCTTTTCAAGCGATGCAAGACAGGCCTTAGGCATACTCCGGTTAACGAGGACCAGGCTTCCTCCCCTGGATTAGATGGTGGCAGTGGAGAGGAATTCAGGGTCTCGGGCACAATCACAGTGTGTTCCATATATAGACTTTATGAGTATAGGTAATATTTTATGAGAAAACACTTTAATTCAGGACCAAATTCTCTCTTCCCTCCCTGCATGGCTACTCTTCCCTTTATTTCAGCAAGGTATGTGCCATAGAACTTCCCCTTAGTGAGGTTATTTCCTCTTGCAGTTTTAATTTTGTAGAGTCTTCAGAGATCAGAGTTGCCTGCAGGGGTGTCGCTAGAGCGGCTTATCTCATTCTTGGCCACTTTAAGACGTGTGGAATTCAACCCTTACTGGCTGGGGAATTCTGGGAGCTGGTCCACACATCTTAAAGCAGCCGAGGTTGGGAAACACTGACTTGAGGGATGAATCTGGGGGTTCTTTTGCCCTCTTTCCTCTTTGAAATCTTCAAATTATTTAGAGCTGAAAATCAGCAAGTTGCCAGTAAGGCAAAAAGGGCACAGAAAAATGGGACTTGGGCCCACATGTGGCTCTGGGTGTCCCTCTTCGTGAATGCCAAGTGGATCAGATATGTGCCTTGTTTTGGGTCCCTTTGCACTGACCCTCCAGCCAGAGGGAGACCTGGAACAAATGATGTACCACATTAGGAAAGCTCAGTCAGTGAAGTTTAGAAAGCAATTTATGCCCAGAAAAAGGCTTTTCTCCCTCTTTTTAAAGGGGGACATCCTGGGACCAATTTTGCCATCTTGGGCGGTAGTGCATCTGCACTTTCTAACAAACCCAATGGGTTCCTCTCCCTTCCTCTTTTTCTCCCGGGCAGGCAGCTGCGAAGATGTCCAGGGTGCCACTGCCTGACCTTGCCCAATGTCCCCATTGATGTCTACATTGCCATGGGTGGGAGCCACAGGCCACGAACTACCTGAAGATTTCCCCAGGTCGGCTCAAGTGCTGAGGCCACAGCGGCTGTCCCAGGAAACACACTGACAGCCAGACAACAGTGAAGCAAGCCACACAGAACAGTGACGCACATTTTAATAAAAGGACACCTTAAAATGTTTCTGTGACGGTCCTTCCTGCAAATCTGCTTTGCTTCTCTCTGGCAGAGCCCCCTCCCCACTGACATCAGAGAGGGCCGAGCTGAGGCTTCGACAGAGGTGGGAAGCATCCATCGGGGTGCTCAGAGTTTTCCCTTGCAGAGATTAGCCAGGTTCCCCAGTCCGCCCACTGGATGTGAACCAGCCAGTCCTAGCAGAGTCTGCTCCTCGACTGTTCCTCCTCTGCCCTTCTCCCAGAGGACAGAACCGCCTAGATCAGCATCTCTTCTCTTTCTTCCTGTGGGTTGCCAGGTCTGCGAGTGTGGGGGTGGAAGTGAGGGTCCGTGGGGACCCAGTTGGCTTCCAGAAGCGGAAGAAGGGGTGGTTCCATTCTGGCACCCTCTTCTCTCTCTTGGCCTCCGCTGGAATTTGGAGGGTGACTTTTGAGTCAAGGAGGCCGGCTTCTGCCCCGGAACGTCTCCTGAGAACGTTCATGCTCGTCAACACCATCAGCCATTCAGTTGCGTCTGACCCTCAGCCACGCTCTGGACCAGCGCTCTCCCTGCCCCTCTGCCTCACGCCGCCTCTTTCAGATCCGCCGTGGTCATCCCGGTGTGTCATCCTTGATAGCGTCCAGCCAGCGATGCTGGAAGGGCCCCTTCTCCTTTTCCCACCGATCACTCCCAGCATGACTGACTTTTTGAGTGAGTCAAGTCTCATGACTTGACAAACTATGATGGCCTCCCTGTGGTGATTTTGGCTTTTTTTCTTTTTAACACATTGTGTGTTTTAATTGTAGCCACATGAATATTTGACCGAGTTAAAAAAAATCTTTTAAAACGGCCAGTTTTAAAAAGATACAGCAAATACCTTTTTTTTACTTAGCTGGAGTATTGACAATACTCCTGTACTAACATTTCCCCCCCCCCAGACGAGGAGGGGGCTCTCCTGGGCCTCCCCCCTCCCCCAGCCATCTCTCTTGGGCTTGGTTAGTCTTTAAGGCCCACTCCCAGCATTTTACTTAAGTCTTAATTATCTTTAATGAACCCTAACCATCATTGCCTCAGTTTTATTTTTTTACATACAGTTTTTATGGCCAGAATCCCTCTGGAGGGAGATGGGCCGTTTCTAAATTGATAAATAAAAATAATAAAAATTGCGAGATAAAAAGAAAACAAGGATTAAAAATAAAAAAATAGTTTCGTTTCCTGAGGGAAAGTTACCTCCTGCTCTTCTCCCCCAGCGGGGCCTTCAAAGACGCCCCCAAGCAGACAAACCGCCAGCGCTTCGCCCGGCCGCTGCGAGGCGCCCGCGAGCCCCGAGCCGCAGCGGCCCCGGCCAGGAGGCGTGGCGGGGGCGGAGCTTGGGCGCGAGCGCTGGCCTCACGCGCTGTCCCGCTTCGGCCGCCGTCGCCCCTATTAAGTCCCGCCTTGCTCCCCCGCCCTGCCGGCCCGTCTGCTCGGCCCATTGGCCTGTGCGCCATATTGTCGGCGAAGGAGGGACGGGAAGGAGCGGCGACATGGGTGAGCGTCCGGCGGAGCCCTCCCCCCCGCCGCCCCCTCTCCGCGCGCGCCCCGGCCCGGGTCCCCGCCGGGCGTCCCCGGAGGCGCACTGCCGCCGCCGCCCCCGCCGCCCAGCCTGCCCCGGCCGGGTGGAGGGGCGTGGCCGGCGGGGCGTCCGGAGGCGCCGGCGAGAGCCAGGCCGCCCTCCTGCCGTCCCGCACTGCGGTCCCCGGCGGAGCGCTGGGCCTTCGGGGCGAAGGGCGAGGGTGGCCCGGAGCTGCAGCGCCGGGAGGCCTCAGAGGGCGCAGCCTTCGGCGCGGGGCGTCCGGACGCCCGGTGGCTTCGTCTCGCCGAGAGGCCGAGGAAGTGGTCAGCAGGGCGCTGTTGGGGCCCGGGGAGAGAAGGGAAGACCCCGGAAGCCCCTCGGACCCGGCCGGCTTCCCCGCCCTGGCGCGCTTGGCCCTTCTCTTTGCCGCCGAGGAGGCCGCTTCGCTTCCAACAGAGCGCCTCTTCCACCTCCCGGGCAGCCTGGCCATGCGCCCGGTGGGGGAAGCCGGGCTGCGAAGCGCCCGGGCGCCCCGAGTGGGACCGAGGCAACGGCTGCTGCCGCACATTGCTGGCTCACATTTAAGTGATTGTCCACTAAGACCCCAAGATCCCTCCCGCAGTTAGTGCTATTGAGCCGAGTTTCATCTAATCTGTATTTGTATAGATTAATCGAAAAGGAACTGAAAAACTTTGAAAGCTTGTAATAGGTAAAGGCAAAGGATTTTTTCAGACCAATGCAGCGGAGTGACTCATTCCATAATTTGAACAGGCCTCCAGATAATAGCATCCTTTGGTGTCTTTCAGCTCCAGGACATGATGAGAGTATTTTCTATTGATTATGCAAAAAAGATGAGTTTTTTTTTCTGGCCTGCAGAAACCATGGCGAGCCCAGCAAAAGAGAACAATTACAGAATGAAAAGTTACAAAAACAAAGCTTTGAACCCAGAGGAGATGCGCCGGAGGAGAGAAGAGGAGGGGATCCAGCTACGCAAACAGAAACGGGAGCAGCAGGTAAGGGATCCCTGCCTCATTAGGTACCTGCTTCCTTTTTTGATTGCCCACTCAAAAGGTCTGGAGTGAGGTAGAAGTGTTCTTTGGGCTTGCCATGTTTCACTTATCTAATACTTGGCAATGCTTTCAAGAACAGCAAAACATTTAATAACAGAGTAACAGGGTTGGAAGGCACTATTGAGATCTTCTAGTCCAACCCCCTGCTCAAGCAGGAGTCCCTATACCCGTGGTGGCAAACCAGTGCCACATGTGCCATAGGTGGCACGCAGAGCCATCCCTGTGGGCACGCCTGCCATCACCCCAGAGGGAGGTGGGGCTGGGCTGCTCCCCTTCCCCTCTCCACATGCGCCATCGCTTTCACTTTCTTTCTCTGCACTGGGAGTCAGGGAGCAGCTGCAAGGACTGGGCGGGAGAGGTGAGAAGCCAGAAGCAGCGCAGAGAAAGAGGTGCTGAGACAGAGGTGCTGAGACGAGTGGAATTGTCCTTCAATGGGATTTTCCCATGTATTTTACCAAGAAACATAGATAGGGCAGCCTAGAAAAGTCCGTGCCCTCCTAATCATACCCAAGCACTCCAAATTTGTTGGCGATGTCCATTTTGCTCTATGAGTTCAAGCTGACCTAACCCTAACCCTAAGTGGAATTTTCCTGGATGAGATTTTCCCATGTATTTTACCAGGAAAGATAGATAGGGCAGATTAGACTAGTCAGTGCCCTCCTAACCATACCCAAGCACTCCGAGTTTTTTGGTGATGTCCATTTTCCTCTCCGAGTTCATGGTGACCTAACCGTAGCCCTAGGTGGAATTTTCCTCCAATGGGATTTTCCCATGTATTTTATCAGGAAACATAGATAGGGCAGGCTAGAAAGGTCAGTGCCCTCCTAACCATACCCAAGTACTCCAAGTTTGTTGGCGATGTCCATTTTCCTCTCCAAGTTTATGGTGATCTAACCCTAACCCTAAGTGGAATTTTCCCCGAATGGGATTTTCCCATGTATTTTACCAGGAAACATAGATAGGGCAGCCTAGAAAAGTCAATGCCCTCCTAATCATACCCAAGTACTCCGAGTTTGTTGGCGATGTCCATTTTGCTCTATGAGTTCAAGGTGACTTAATCCTAACCCTAAGTGGAATTTTCCCCCAATGGGATTTTCCCATGTATTTTACCAGGAAACATAGATAGGGCAGGCTAGAAAAGTCCGTGCCCTCCTAACCATACCCAAGCACTCCGAGTTTGTTGGCGATGTCCATTTTGCTCTATGAGTTCAAGGTGACTTAACCCTAACCCTAAGTGGAATTTTCCCCCAATGGGATTTTCCCATGTATTTTACCAGGAAACATAGATAGGGCAGGCTAGAAAAGTCCGTGCCTTCCTAACCATACCCAAGCACTCCGAGTTTGTTGGCGATGTCCATTTTGCTCTATGAGTTCAAGGTGACTTAACCCTAACCCTAAGTGGAATTTTCCCCCAATGGGATTTTCCCATGTATTTTACCAGGAAACATAGATAGGGCAGGCTAGAAAGGTCAGTGCCCTCCTAACCATACCGAAGCACTCCGAGTTTGTTGGCGAAGTCCATTTTGCTCTATGAGTTCATGGTGACCTAACCCTGGCCTATACCATTTCAGACAAATGGTCCAATCTCTTCTTGCAAGACTCCAGTGATGGTGCGCGAACAATTCCAAAGATAAATGGGAGGGGACCTCAGTGCTAGATTATAAAGATTGGTGTGGTCATTTGGCCACTAAAGATGTAAATGTTTGACCAGCAGGATGAGAGCACCTTCTTCCCCAAGTGTGCATTATTTCCGGTGCTGTGCTGTAACAGGAAATGGGAGAAGGCAATTAGAGAATCTTTCCTGCTAATAATAATAAAATTAAACTAAGATTATTTATGGTTTGGTATTATAAAATGAGGTTAGGAAAGCAGTAAAAATGCAAACAAATTAAGTCTAGTGAAATTATTTAAATAGTCTTTAAATTATAAACCACTATAATAGGCTGACTGTTCTTTGTACAGTACAGATAGTCCTCAACCTATGACTGTAATGATGCCTGCCCATTAAAGTCATAAATTGTGATGGCCGTAAAGTGGGGCATTGTGTGACCAGATGCAATTTTACAACCTTTTTTGCATCAGTTGGTTAATGTATGTTGTGGTGGTTAAGTGAAACCTGTTTTCCTCTAGGGAGCACTTTTGCAAAAACATAAATCATATTCACAGAACTGTGAGATGCTTCAAATGGCTCAAAATCAGGCCGGTTGCTGAGCAACCAAATGCAGTCATGTGACCACTGGAAGTGTGGCTGTCGGAGCTGGGTTATACACTTAAGTACCTTTTAGACGCCCAAGTAACTTTAAATGGTTGTTAAAGCGGGCAGTCATAAGTCGAGAACTACTTGTTTGTAGAACGGGCTGAAGGTTGTTCAGGTTCTGCTAGTAAATCACTGTCAGAATATAAAGTAAGGTACGTTTCTGACTCTCGACACTAGAATGCCAGCCCACTGCCCACCTGCTCAGGTAGCGAGCAAAACGTGTCTGCTTGGTGGTGAAAAGAGAAGGTTACTTAGTGAGGACAGTTCTGGGATGAGCAGCTTAACTCTGTGCCATCTTTATTTTATGTCTTGTTCTGGTTGATCTTCAGAAAAAGGAAGGAAGGGGATGCCGTAGGACTGCCAAGGTAGTAGCAGTTCCTGTTGGGTTCCTTGCTCTTAAAACACTGTGTGCATGTGCATGAATTTAATATAAATTTTGTATGTCACTTATATGTGGTTGGCAGTGGAAGGGGTATTAACCTTTTAGAGTAATGAAGCCACGAAAACAGTTTGGAGTGACTTGTGATGGGGAATATGAAATGGGCGTGTCCCTCTATGTTTGTAGATTGTGCGTGCCAAGCCAAACTAAGTTTTGCCCTTGTGCGGCCTGGCTAAGAGTGATTTGGGAGCTCGAGGATGGTGCTGCCTTGCAATAGTACTAAGGAATAAGAATAATCACGTCAAGCTACTTTTCAGTGAAGCCTCAAGCCCTACCTTTAGAACAGAAATGTTCTCATATCTGCAAGCATAAATTGGGAGATGAGGTTCTGCTTGATGAAACATCAAAAGTAGGATGATTGCCAATGTTGGGTTACAACACTGAAGTGCAGAGGAGCTATTTAGCAATCTGCAGGTGACCTAAATCAGGGTTTGGTTTGTTCCCCTATAATTTCATTCATTTTCCATTGCAGCTCTTTAAAAGGAGAAATGTGGAGCTAATTAATGAAGATGGTGCTATGTTTGACAGTCCCCTGGTCGATTCCTTGGTCAGCTCTACAGTTGGTAGTGTAAGTAGAGATAGCACGTTTCCTTCTTTCTTCTCTCTCTTGGTCAATATCAATAAGACATCTACAGATACTAAGAAACTTCCATGCACTTTGTGAATGTTTTCTGCCTCAAAAGCTAGGGAAATCAACCTGCCAATTTCATTTTGAGCATTAGCAACCAGGTTTGAGCTAGAAAAGGGGATTTATCGGCTGCCCCTGCGGGGCCTTGGGTTCTCCATCCTTGGGCTTGGTGACCCATTTATCTGCTTTGGTACAATATACCTTATTGTATCTCTGGGAAGGTTTTTTAAAAGAATGTCCTGGGATTTAGATGTCTTTTTTCTTCACCCTAGCCTGGGATCTTCTCCTTGAAAATTGGAATAATCCTGAAAGTTTGAGAATTGTTATAAAAGGTGGGCATTCGATTTGGGGATGGATGGATGGATGAATATCTGATCTTTTCAGGAGGGCGTGATCACAATGGAGATGGTGAAAATGTTGTTCTCTGAAGATCCTGATCTTCAGTTAGTAACTACCCAGCGATTCAGGAAGCTACTTTCGAAAGGTACATTCAGTTGTAACTTTTTAAAGAAGAGTTGGTGAAATTAACTTGGTGTTTCTGTTAGGCCCTCAAGATATATTTGTTATTCAAATTCTTTGCCAGAAACATCTGAAGATGTCCTATAGGTGGGTAGAATGTATAAATAAAATCTAATAGCAGGAGCAGACTATCTGAGCTGCTCATTTTTTAATTCTACTGAATTACAAATCACTTTATTTAAAGGCCTTAAATTTCAACAGTTAAGTTCAGACGTGACCAATAGTGTGTAATGAACATACTTGGCTAAACACGGATAATATGCAAGCATACATTGTGTTATACAGAATATACAACAGCTTCAGCTGGGCAGGCAGTTAGATGGAGAGATTAAATATGTATGGGGATGGCATGTATGCACAGGGCTATGTGCAAGCTGGGATTGTGATATTCATTCCCCCTCTCCTAAAGGACAAACAAGCCTTACCCAGTGCTGTTTGATACATATTTAAATTTCCTTCCCTTCAATTTCTTTTTAAATTTTATTTTAGAGCCCAATCCTCCAATCGACGAGGTGATAAGCACTCAGGGAGTTGTGCACAGGTTTGTTGAATTCCTCAAGAGAAGTGAAAACAGCACACTACAGGTAAGTGGGGGGGGGGGAGACAGCTGTTTCTTGGGCTCGCTCTTTGAAGATCTTAATCAACTTTGCAGCTTGCCCGGTCTTTGTCCTGCTTAAGTTGGTGATCATGATCAAAGACATCTCACTTCAAATAAATACCAAAAAAGGAGACTTATGGCTATTATGTTTAATAAAATTACTATTAAAAATGTAAAACCATTATTTGAGTGTCTCAAAGTCTGCAAATTTGACTGAAGCCATAATCTGCTGTGGCTTTAAACATAGGGTATTTTGTTAAGGGGTGTGTGGGATAGGAATACTCCATTATTAGTTCTTTATTCCTGAATAAATGTAGGCTATCAGTCCTTCAAAGGTTATTAATCATGTTTTAATAAAGTGATCCATAAAGATCCTTCCTGAGGGGCAGTTTATGGTTGAAAACCAGACACCCGTGATTCCTCTGGGATCCAGCTCTGCAGTGCCTTTCTCCTGCCTCCCTGCCCTTTTTGGCCGCCTTCCAGCTTTTCTCCTTGGTTTTGGTCTTGTGAGTGGTGGCAAAAAGGCAGCGCCAAACAGGCAGCGCCTCTGCCTTTGATTTGCCTGCTGGGGGGGGGGAAGGCTGGCAGCAGCACCACTGAAGAAAAAGCTGCCACTCAAAACAGGCTGTTGCCCTCCTGCCAAAGGGGACTTGCTCCCTCCCCAGGCTCAGTGAAATGGGATCTATTTTATGGCCTTCCTCCACAGATAATTGGAAGATTTCAGTTGAAACCAGGTTAGAAATGGCAGCCAGAGTTAGGAGGTCTCATTTCTGAATTATTTTGCCCTGTGAAATGCTTCCCCCCCCCTCGGAACAAATTGGAACTCCAGTTTGCTCTGTTGAGGTTTAATCCCAAAGTTACCTGTTTCTTATCGGTTGTGGGTCTCCACTGGAATCAGTGGTTCACTGGCTGCATCTCTTCCAGTTTGAAGCTGCGTGGGCATTAACCAACATCGCCTCAGGCACCTCACTACAAACTAAGATAGTGATCGAGGCCGGAGCAGTCCCGATCTTCATTGAATTGCTAAGTGCTGATTTTGAAGACGTCCAAGAGCAGGTGAGGCTCAGACCTGGGCTACTGATTTCATGGCAGCTCTTGAGCTTTTGTTCATTCTCTCTCGAGCATTTCTGCGACAAAACATCTAGCTCGGGTCCTGAACAAAACATGATCAACAGTGTCCTCAAAGGGCAGCAGCTGCCCAGTTTAAACTCTATTTAAATGACTGATTCTCACATGATTTGGGTGTTTTTTAATTTGTTTATTTATTTAGGGAGATGCCTGAGGCTTGGAAATGTTTTTGACTGTGATCTAGCCACTCTGCATTTTTTGTCTACACTTTGAACTATCCCATCCCATTGTAGGTTTACAGTTATATTTAAGTTGTTGGTGCTCTTTCACTGGAGGTTTTTAAGAAGAGGCTGGGCAGCCGTTTGTCTGAAAGGGTGCTGGGTCTCCTGCTAAAGCAGGGGGCTGGACTAGAAGGCCTCCGAGGTCCCTTCCAACTCCGTTATTCTATGTTCTGTGGTCTAATTATGGTGTAATTACATCACATGATTACTTGCCTTTTCCCTGGAAGGCAGCATACATTGGGGTAGGGGTCCTTCACTCAGTTTATTCTCACAACAACCCTATGAGGTAGGATGGCCCAACTGGCTCTTGTATCACCCTGGGACTCAGTGGTCTAGCCTTCAGGCTCTGCTGCTGTTGTGATGTCACAGATGCGTCAGACTGCCTAGGGCAGGGGCGGGCAACCTTGGCACTTTTATGACTCGTGGACTGGCTCAGGAATTCTGGGAGTTGGAGTCCGTGAGTCATAAAGGAGCCAAGGTTGCCTACTACTGGCCTAGGGCGAGGTAAGTTGCTCTGTCTGGCATGAGAGCTGAGCCAGTTGGCAAGAAAGAAGCACAGACCCCTAGCAGGTATTGGAAGGCTTGGATTATAGAATGGGGATGAAATAATCAAATGTGGGGCAGTAACTCTCTAGAGGACGGACAGCTGCGAGGTGTTGAACAGTCCAGGCTTCCTCCATGCGCTGGGGCTGCTGGATGGAGAAGGACAGCATGGAAGTGACGACGGTCAGCGATTCATTTGCAAGGCCTTACTGAGACTGACTGCCTGCTTCGCTGTTGCTCTTAATACACTCCCTTCAAGGACTGAGTCCTGAAGCCCCTGCTCTTCTTCCAGGCTGTCTGGGCACTGGGGAACATCGCTGGAGACAGCTCTGCCTGCCGTGACTATGTCCTAAATTATGGCATCCTTCCTCCTTTGTTGTTGTGAGTAGCTGCTGGGAGAAATTCCACCACTTTGTAGCCCTTCATTTCCTTAGACTGCAAGTGCTGAGTGGGGTGAACTTGTCCTAGAACCACAACTGATTTTCTTATTTTCCCTGGACCATCTGACTGCTAGGACTGTTTATAGCAGTGGTTCTCCACCTTTTTAATGCCGCGACCCCCAACCGGTCGTAAGTCGAGGACTACTCAACTGGTGCAGCACCGTTTGCAGAAGGGGACTTTTGGCGGGCTCAGCAGGGCAAAGACAGCCTGGACAAGTCCTATTGGCCTTTGAAAGCCAATAGAATTAGACTCTATTCAAGAGAGTCTATTCTGTTGGCTTTCAAAAGCTAATAGAATAAAAGGGAGTAGCACAGCTAAGGAAAAGGGGGGGGGGGGAAATGGCGGACTGCGTTGTTTGGCGACCCCCGTAAAATGGTCGTTCGACCCCAAATGGGGCCCCGACCCACAGGTTGAGAACTACTGGTTTATAGGAACACAGTTGCCAAGCCCTTAAACAGCTTGATTTAGGCCCAAAGGCTGTAATGTGGACTTAAGCATCATTTGGTTATATTTCAGGCTCCTCACAAAATCTACTAGATTGACAATGACACGAAATGCAGTCTGGGCTTTGTCGAATCTCTGCAGAGGGAAGAACCCACCTCCAGAGTTTGAGAAGGTAAGATCCAAATGTGGATTACTTTATTTTCCTAGCCACAGGCATCTCTTGCGTTCCACAGGCTTTCTCAGCGGTGGCAACTGGAAGATGTGTGGATTTCAACTCCCAGAATTCCCCAGCCAGCACAGTGGAGAAACGTTGCTTTATTTAAGCTGGGTATTAACACTTCTTGCTCCTATCACTTATCTCTCCTCCTTACATTTAAAAGCACCTGCAGTGTAGTACATGTGAAAACAGTAAAGCATAGGTATTACAACCACTCCAACTTGCTGGCATCATGTTCTGAGCCATATAGCACCACCAGCCTCACAAAGGCTAGATGCAGTAGTGAGAGAACACAGACAAATTATGAATTCACTCCTACTGGTGCACGCCAGCCTTCCTCATTTATCAGCAGAAGGCTCAAATCCAGGAGATCCCCACTGGCCCTTGCACGACATCTGCCCAACAACTTTAACATCGATCCCAGTGGAAAGCTAAATGGGTTGCTGAATGCACAGACAAAGGCAGACATAGAAATGACCCCACAAAAAAAGGTGCCAAGCTTTGAAGTACCACATCGGCAATGGAGAATCCTGAACAGGATTTGCACCTTACACGGCGTCTCCTGGGGCTTGCTGTTTAAATGGGGCATAGCATCCTCCCCTCAGCGTGACTGCCGGGTTCCAAGTCAAACTATAGATCGCATCAGCTGTAAGCTGAGGGGATTTACTGGTCCAGTAGCTGATTTTTTTTAATGTAAAAGATGCTGTGCTTCAGTGTTTAGATAGCCTAGACTGTGGTAGTTGAACATAGATCTTTTTAACATTCATATTTTATTGTGTTTTACTAATCTAGGTGAAATGTTAATAGGTAATGCTAGTCCATGTGTGATATGCCATATGCTAAATAAAATAAACTGCTGTGTCTATGGATCAAGATTTACCAGCTCTAAAATGCCTAGTGTGATTATAGCACGAGGCACTGATTTGAATGTACAAGCTGTATTTCTGAATTGAACATGTAACGAGAGATTTGACCTTACACACACAAAACTCGGCGCAGAGGTGCTGGAGTGCCTGTAGCTTCCCCTGGGGTCCGTGTTCTCACCGTCTCTTGCAATTGTGCTTTTGGGCAGGTGTCGTCCTGTTTGCCGGTCTTGTCTCGATTGCTCTTCAGCAGCGACTCGGACTTGTTGGCAGATGCCTGCTGGGCACTTTCCTATCTGTCGGATGGACCCAATGAGAAAATCCAGGCCGTCATAGATTCAGGAGTGTGCCGGCGACTGGTGGAATTGCTGATGTAAGTGTAAAAGTGCTAAATTATGGTTTGCATAGCTATAGCTTATTGAGTAATTGGCTAGATTCACATAAACCACAAATAATGCTTTGCAAACTACTCTGGCTGTGTTCATTTTGTGAAGTCAGATATGAAGCGTTAGTGTGGGAATGACCTCGGGAGACAGAAGAAGAAGCTGCAGAAAAAGTTGCAGCCTTTGGCTAAGAGGCAGCTGCGCCCATGCTGAAGGAGAGGGGCCTGGGAAATGTCTCGGGAGGGTCTTCCCCGGGTTTTTGGACTGGAAAGCCGAAGGGGGAGAGAGAGACTTTCAGACTTGCAAGTTTGCGTGAACAAAACCTTAAAGCAAACACCGCTAGCACATCTGGGTGTGCTTCTTGTCTGGACTGCCTTACAAAGTTGAAAATAGCTCATGTACTCTCATCAAGTTAAATCAGTTTCACAACAATTACAGTTGAATATTTTCTGACGCATTAATTTAGGATGTAGCTGAAGTCAATCCAATTTTCAGAAGACGACAAATGCTAATCTGTGTCATGATTCTGAGGCAGTTTCCTTTCTTTTAAACGGGGGGGGGGGGAAGCAGCCTCAGCACAGGGCCCAGCCAGTTCCTAGGTGGGGAGAGGATAGTGAAAACGCACATCGCGCACAAAGGATGCTGCAGTCTGCCATCGCGATAGAAACGGGTGGGCGTTCCTACTGTCCTACACGCATCTCCAGTGGAATAAATAGGAAGGGGGCTGAGTGAACTGAGCTGCATTTGTGAGAGCTTGAGGTGAGGTGAGCTTAACCCCTCCTGAATCTTGTGCTTTCCAAGTAGGTGGGACTGTAAATCCCAGCACACCTAGGCAGCTTGAATCCACCCAAAGGACCAGGATGGGAGGCTGCTTTAAGGTAACAAAGACCTGCTGTGTACAGGTCCAGCTTCCTATAAGTAGTCCTTGACTTATGACTGGTTGCTTAGCGACCATTCAAGTTATAACTGACCTGAAAAAGGGAGCCTACAACCTGGATTCAGAGTGCTCCATTGCTGAAGGTTTTCAAGAGAAGCTTGGGCAGCCATTTGTCCAGAATGGCATAAGGTCTCCTGCCCTGGGCAGGGGGTAGAAGACCCCCAAGGTGCTCTCCGGTCTAATGAGTCTGTTGATTCTGACAGACAGGGCCCTGGCCCGGCCATATGACCAGACTTTGGCCATTCGGCAACACGGCTGCATTTACGGAATCTGCATGTCTCATGGTCATCAGACTACATTTTATGATGGTTTTGCTGAAAACTGACACTTCTGGGTTTTGGCAAAACACACCCATAGTGAACCATTGGTCGTAATGGCAGTCTCCATGATGATCCACTGCCAGGGACTTCCTGAATTCTGTAGCTTAGAGCTATTATTTGACATGGGAACTTGACTGTGGTGGGTGCTCCAGACATTGGCCTGGCCTGAACATTTTAGCCAAAGAAGGGACTGGATGTAATGCACCCTGGTCATAAGAGAATTGCATGGCCTATGACCTTGCAGACGTTGCTGAGCCACCTCACCTAGCAGCCTGGAGCAGCACGTGGTGGGTTGCAGCTGAGTAATAGTTGAGGATCTTCCTTGATTCTCCAACCTGGCCTCTATGGGGTTTCCTGGATCGTGTCATGGCTTTGCACAGATAGACTTTACTGGGGTGTCTCTGATGGAACTCATTCTCAATGAGAGACTAAACTTGTGGGTCAAGCTTGGATGTCCATCCGTAAGGAAAGTTGAGTGTGTTGTTGTCTTCTTCTGTACACAGGCACAGCGATTACAAGGTGGCTTCCCCAGCCTTGAGAGCAGTTGGCAACATTGTGACGGGGGATGATATCCAAACCCAGGTGATGGGGGTGGGGTGGGTCTTGTGTAGCCCATTGCAGGCTCCCCCCCCCCAGGAGGTCCCTTCTTTTGAAATATCCACTACCAATCTGGAGAGATCAAGCTCCTGGACTTAGTTTTTGCTTCCAGTCAATAATCAGAGAGGTTGTGGGATTGGGCTGTGATATTGGCAATTGGTACTCAAACTACGATTTAAAGCAGAGACTGGCTATGTCAGGGTAGTAACTACTCATTGATGTAGAGAACACTAATTTTTTTTTGCTATCGCTGCTGCAATTCACTGAAGGCTGGGAATTACTTTCTTTTCCCTTATCTTTTTATTTCAGTATTTTGCATTTTCTTGTTCTTATAATGCTAACAAGTCAACCCTTCAGAGAAGGGCTGAGGGAAATAAGTGGATCTTTGAGTCTGTCACGAACATTACCAGAGACACACACAGTTGTCTCGACACTCCCTGTTAATGTGGGGCCCTCTAGAGGTCCGCAATCTTAAAGCTCAAGCGGTTTGGACCATGAATGGCTGGCAGCTGGTTTTTGAGCCTGACTCCACCTTTGGTCGCTTCCCCTCCACCTGAGCTTCTCTACTTAGCCTGGATTCCCAAAAGGCCGCCGTGGCTTTCCAGGATTCTCAGATCTGCTTATCGTAGTCCCATTTTATCTGTCTTAAGCCTCAGTTGGCTCATCTGCACATGTTTAAAATACCTTTAGGCGCTAGTTTGGAAGTTTCCCAGCCTTCCTGGAAGGATTCACGATATCAGGTTGCATTCTGTGATTGTGGCATTTCAGCCCTTCCAAGCTGCCTGGGGAATTTTGGGGGTTGAAATCCACACACTTCAAGCTGCCAAGGTTGAGAAACCCTGGGCCAGACTCTGTAATACACGGGTGTCACTCGTCAAGTGACATGATGTATTGTGACTTTTTTGCATTGCCGGAGGAGCTGGGGTGAGCACGGCCTCCATATGATGCAACCAGTCCACAGGCCGGGCAGTTTGACACCCCTGCTGTAATAGATTTCATATAGCTGGGGGGAGTTCGAGACAAAAGGAGGCACTTGTGGCAGCCAGTCAAATTAGGGCTGCTAAGCAAATTTGGAATGTGGAGAGTGGAGCTGCTCAAAGACATCCCATTCTCTTCCCCCCCCCCCGGAGGAGCTTGTTCCCTAAGTTCTCCTTTGAAGTACCCACCCCCAATCTTCTGCCTGTGTTCTTGGGTGGGATTCTTGTAAGTAAAATTGATGCTAGCAGCTGGCACTTTGCTTTTTCACTTCCCTGTTTATATATGTTTTAAAAGTAATTTTAATTAAAAAATATTACTGGCACCACCCTAATGCGATGGTGCCAAACCAAGCAAGGTGTTCCAGAAAAATGCCCAAACCCAGGAAGAAATCCAAAGAGAGCTGTACCTGTCCCGTTTATGTCTGTTTATTGCCCATAAGGTTAACCAAAGTTTATTTCGTCCCATAACCAAGGGACCATGATTGATGGGAAGACAGGTAAGCAGCTTCATCCAGTCAAATGCATCCTTCAGATGGTATCTCTTGATCAAGGCCTGGTCTGATTTGGGAAGGTCCTTCTCCAAAACCATAGATTTCTTTCTCCCAGTTAAACTCTCCCTTCTGCTTTCTTTAGCGTAACGAAGAATCTCTTGAGGCCGGCTGACCTTTAGGTTATATTTGCTCCGGTACAGCATTCCCAGGTTGCCCAAAATGGAATGTATCTGTAACCAAATTATGCTCCTCCCTACTGTTGTGTTGTAATATTTTAGTAGAGTTATTTGCTATGAGATGGGCGTCATTATCCATCCACAAATGGATGGATGATCTTGGGGGGCGAGGGGAAAAGATGCTGCCTAGAAGACAAGTGGAGGGGCAGCCCCCATGGGCTTAATGGTGGGAGGGCTGGCATCAGCCTTGCTTCCTGCTGCCCCTGCCAGATCCTTTAGGGTGGGTCCTTCCTCAATTCCTTCCTCTGACCGTTAATCCATTGGGCAGCGCCGCCCTCTCTTGTCTGACTGTCTCCTGGGCAGCCCCTCTTCCCCTCTTGCCCCAAGATCGTCCACACCTTCTGCTGTGTGGAGGTAGGCAGAGGTTTTGAAACGGGGCACTTATTCCATTTTCCTTTCTAGGTGATCCTAAATTGCTCGGCTTTGCCTTGTCTCCTTCACCTGCTTAGCAGCCCCAAAGAGTCCATCCGGAAAGAAGCTTGCTGGACCATCTCCAATGTGACAGCAGGGAATAGAGCTCAGATACAGGTAACGAGGCTTAAATTACTGGACCACTGCTCAGATGTCAACGGCTTCCAGAGGAAAGGTGGAACTCCCCAACCCTTGGTCTTCTTCATCTTAGTTCCTCTCAGTCCCCGGGCCCTCACCAGGGTGGTCTTTCCTGTACCAACCAACATCCCAGGGCATTCTGGAATGGACCCTTTATTTTTAATGGGCTATAAAAGCCCTATAGGGGATTAGGACCCCCTTTTTCCTCCTGGTGATGCATCCCAGAATTTGGTTTGCCTGCACAGCTGCCTGGCCACTCTCTTTGCTCATTTTGCAGTCATCTCCTATGAGCGCAGCGACCTCTTGTTCTGTCTAACGGGGTGTTGCCAATACTGAACCCTTCCATAGGATTCCTTTCCCCCAGGTGCACGATCTTATGTTTAGAAATATCGAGCAGCAGTTTCTACATTTTTGACTCATTTTCCAGCAATGCCAAACCGTTTTCCTTATTACAAATACCCCAGGAACACCAACCCTATTACAAGCCTTTGCATCACCTGCCAAAAGGCAAACCTTATCTGGCAATTCTTCAGTTAATCGGGTGACTGTATTTCAGCTTTCACCAGCTTGGCCTCCTTCCAGATATCTCGGTTGAATCTCAGAATTCTCAGCAGTGCTAGACGTGTTGAAGAATTCTGGGGAGGATACATCTGGAAGTATATCCAGCTCAGGAAAGTCTTCTTTAATGCTTGCCCCACCCTGCTTATATTCCTCCAAGGGGATAGAAGAAGATTATGTGGTAAGCTGTTTAATCATATGCTTACCATATGATTAAACATACTGCATTTAACCTCCGATCCAGCCACCAATATGTTTCTTTTTTAGCCTTTTTGTAACAGTATTAAGCAGACACCACAGTCGTTAAGGAAACCCATTCATCTGAATGGCAAGGTTTTTTTTGCCAGAAACCAGCAAAAAACCGAACCATAGTCACTTGACTGTGGAATGCCGCAACTGGTTATAAGGCTGGCTCGGCTGACATGCGGTCATGTGACTGCAAAGGGGTGGTTGCAACCTTTTACAATGGTGACTTATCATAATTTCAAATGGTCATAAAACGAGTGGTCATTAAATGAGGACTGCCTATACTGCTGCTCTGTCCTTGCCTGTTTGCTTTCTCTGCCTCGAGGTTGGGCCCAGGCTCGGTGCCTGGCTAACACTGTCCTCTGGCCCTGCAGGCGGTCATAGATGCAAACATCTTCCCAGTATTAATCGAGATCCTGCAGAAGGCGGAATTCCGCACGAGGAAAGAAGCGGCCTGGGCCATCACAAACGCCACGTCAGGGGGCACGCCAGAGCAGATTAAGTAAGGTGTAACTTACTCTTTAACCAAGTGGGACTTTTTTTTTTGTAGATTGTGCTTCTCTCTAATTAACAGGTCTACGAGAACAAAAACTTAAAAGAACCTGTGAAGTGCATGGTATAAGGTCTCCTGCCTTGGACGGGGGGGGTGGGGGGGTGGGGGTTGGACTGGAAGATCTCTAAAGTCCCTTCCAGCTTTAGGATTCTATGTTATGCACTTCATAGCATGTGGGTTTTATGGCCCTTATTATTCAAATACTAGACAGCTAATGGTTTGTCCTTGTTATTACACAGTTACCTGCTGCTTATAAATAACATATCCATGATTGAGAAGAAAGGCAAATAGTCAAATATAGAATAAATTATATACAGTGTAAAACTTTATTTTCCTCTTATAGTTTGCTAACTATGGGAGTCTTAGCTTGAATTTCAGACTTCAAATTTCTTATGCAGCTTCAGGGTTGAAAACTTATATCCCACTTATATATCTGTAGGCATAACTCCAGTTTTACCAGTAGTTTTAGCTTCTAGATTTTTTTGCTTCATTTCCAGATATTTAGTAAACCTGGGCTGCATTAAGCCCCTATGTGACCTCTTGACCGTCATGGACGCTAAGATCGTTCAGGTGGCCCTGAATGGCCTGGAGAACATCTTGCGGCTGGGAGAGCAGGAGGCCAAGCAGAGCGGCACTGGCATCAACCCTTACTGCAGCCTCATTGAGGAGGCGTATGGTGAGTGCCAAGTCTTGAAAACATGCTGTGGCTGTTTGCAAATGGAGGCTCTCAGGTGAGGTTCCCCTTGGTGGAATTCCTTCCCAGTGGGGCAGCCCTGGTGCCCTGAGGCATCAAGCTAAAACATTTTCCTGTTGCCACAATCAGATCAAAATTGTACTGGAATAAACTTTCATCCATGATTCATGCAGGCATGTTTAATTTCTCAAAAAAGTGATTTATTTTTTTTAAAAAACTGGGCAGTTTATTATTGGGTGGCACAGAAGTCGATCTTACCTGACTTCACTTCTGTCTCTGCCCTTTTTCCTCCAGTGCTCCCAACTCGGGGCTGAGAGATGTTCATCTGCCCCTCACGCCAAGCAATTCCCAACCTTTCTGGCTTGGTGGACCGGGGGGGGGGGAGAGGGGATGGTTCAGTGTGAGTGACAGGAACGTGTGTATAAACATGCATAAGTCCATTTGCACCAACGGGTATATCTGCCACTTGTGCAAATGGTGCTTTGCATGCTCCTGTGAGTGCCCGCCGCTTGTGATCACCTATGCTCGGGACCCTGCAGGCATCGTCAATAGGTTGCCAAGCTCCTGAATTGCAGTTCTACGGCCGCAGGGACTTGTTAAGCGTGAGGACCGGTCGGTCATACGTGGCTTTTTTTAGCCCTGTTGCAGCTTCAAACACCAAGGGTGGAGGGCTGCCTGTCCCTGAGGGCTCAGATGCATAAGCCGCCTGAGCTTTGATGGGGAGCCCATGTAAATGATGTCTTTCTCCTTCAGGCCTGGATAAAATCGAGTTCCTCCAGAGCCACGAAAACCAGGAGATCTACCAGAAGGCCTTTGACTTGTACGAGCACTACTTTGGCATCGAGGACGATGACTCCACTCTGGCCCCCCAGGTGGACGAAGCTCAGCAGCAGTTCATCTTCCAGCAGCCTGAGGCCCCCATGGAAGGCTTCCAGCTATAACCCGCCGGCGGCGTTGGAGGGGAAGAAGACCCTCCCCTTGATGGAAAGTCGACCGCCAAGGGCCTTCCCACCCCCACCCCGTTTCCTTCTCTGCCCCGGCAGAAGGCGGCCCTGCCTGCTCCACCCGTTTCTCCTTCGCGACACGCAGTAGCAGCTGTGAACTCTTTTCTGGAGAGGAGATACTCCTACACGCTAGTTTTCTTCCCATTTTTGTGCTGCACGGGTGCGTCAAAAAAGCAGGTGCTGAAGTGGATGGAGGAAGGAGGTGTAAATGCCTTCTAGTTTGTGGTTTTCCTCCAGTTTTTTTTTTCTTTTGTGGTGTATTATTTTTTTCTCCTCAGATGAGATTTTTCGCTTGGGTACTTGAGAGATGACTTTTCTGCCCCAATGGGAGAAGGCAAGGTAACCTGAATCGTAACCAAGGAATCTATTCTGGATGCTTGGAGTCAACTATTTAAAACAATTTGCACATGTTAATTTTTATTAGAGACTTCTCTTAATTTGCCAAATGCACCACTTTGGCCCACACAGGCTCTTTTTTTGGGGGGGGGAGGGAGGGAGGGAAGTCCTCTTGCCAAACAGCACCTTTTGAGGGAATTGGGTCAAGTTGCTGCTGTTTTTGTCCCTCTCCACTAGATATATATAGATCTAAAAGAAAAAAGAAAAACTGCACAGAGATGCAGGCTGAATTGGACTGTCGCATGAGGCCTTGGGAAGGCTTCCCCTGTCAGGTGGGGAGAGGATTTTTCAGAGCAGTTTAAAGATCCGAAAGCTCCTGACGCTGCAGTCTCCAGGGGAAGGCACAAGAAAGAACTCGAAAGCACAGCTGCCTTTTTAGGTGGGCTTATTAACCTTTGCTACTGACTGAAGTGGTGAGCTAGAAGAAAAAAAACCCTCTTGCATCTTTACTTGAAGAAACGAAATTGCAAAACTCAATGGAGCCTTTTGGTTTGTGCCATCTTATTTTGAATTTTTCTTTCCCTTGGACCACGGGGGTGGGGGGCAACTTGCGTGTGGGGCAGCTGGGGGGGGGCTTGTCATCTGCTCTCCGTGCCACCGGTCCCGTGGCCTGTGTCTCTTTCAGAATTACCTCCTGCTCACAACTGTATCTTGTACATTTACTTCAAAACGAAGAAGTCAAAGCTCTGTATTTTTTATATATTATATATACATGTAGACATTTGTTTAATTTGGTTTGGGGAGGGGGGGCTGGTTCTTTGGAGTGCTGATGGAGAGGACGATGCTCTGGGGCAGGCTGGTCTAGAGAGCTGGTTACACAGAGTTCACCACAACCACAATTTTCTTGGGATTCCCCTTTGCCTGTCCTACGAATGACACAATTTGGTGAGCGTCCTTTCATGGGAGAAAGACTGAGCCCTGGCTGGTTCTTTATTCCAGGGAGAAGCCCCTGGCTGAGAGGCCCCGTCAGGTGTCTTAAGAGAAGTTCAGATGGTGCGCATGGCCCCTTCCTTACTCTCCCTCATGGGAAGAAGGTTCTCAAGGCCTTCAAGAGCGGAGATTCAGGCGGGGTGAAGTTGGATGTAAAAGCCCTGGGCTGTATTTTGTAATAGAGGTTTGCTTTACATTGTTTAAAAAAATGCCAAGAAAATTTAATAAACTTCATCTCTGCATTCAGTGACTGCAACCCACACGTGAGTGGACTGAAGCATGTTGTTTTTTTCTTGCAGCTGTGTCACAATTGCCATTCCTGGAACCATAAAAGACCTTTTGGGAATCATGGCTGAGTTGGCTCTCGAAGGGAGGGAAGTGAAGAAGGATGAGGGGAATGAAGGAAAAGAGGGAAAGGAAAGAGCCAGCAAAAGGAAAGAGACAGAGAAAGGATGAAGAAAGGGAGGAAAGGGCTAAGAAAATTAGTGAAAAAAAGATAAATCCTGAAAGGATTAAAGGTATAAAGAATGTTGAAGAGGGTTCAAAGCATAGAGATATATAAGAATGAAAAGTAAGTTTGTCATATCAGTTAATAAAACATGAGAGAAGATGGGAAGTGAAGGAAGGGAGAAGTGAAGAGCTAGTGAGAATAAGGTACAGTGAGCTGAAAGAAAATTTATGGTTTAAGAAACAAGTTAGCAACAAGGTGGATCGGAAACTTTTATAGAAGTTCAGTAGGTGAAACCAGAAGAAGGGTGTGTGAAAAGAAATGAAGAATAGCCCATTAGGGAGACTCAAAGGTGCTTAGCTTTCAAGATGAACTTCTTTAACAAGTTTATTTAGATTCACTTCAGTGGTGAATTTTTTATTTTATTCACTAAGGTAACTTTAATTCAAAAAATTCTCTGAATTGAGAAACAAATGTTGGTTCCTGATTAGTAAAGCAGGACTAGTATTTTAAAAAATCCCTCTAGATCAAAATAAGGATAGAAATCTAAAAGACACAATGGTTATGTTATAGTTAGGTAATTCTCGGGCTGCATCCATTGGTTCAGCAACCATTCAAAGTTACAACAGTGCTGAAAAAATGGACAATTGTCTTAGAAGTTCTGGCTGTTGCAGCACTCCTGCAGTTACAGGTTCAAAATTTGGGCACTTGGCAACTGGTCCACCCTGTCCATGGCATCCGACCCCCCCCCCCCATGGCTCTTACCTGCCAGCCTCCTTGCTTTTTGGGCTCTCACCTCTTCCCTATTAATAAGCAGTCCTGGGATTATGCGGCGCTCAGGACTGCAAGAATTCTTTCGCTAAGGTGAACGTTACAGTTCCATAACGGGGATACCTGGCAGTGCTCTAAAAGACATTGATTAATGATTTCTATGGCAACCCATCTCACAAACGCAATCCTGGATGACTAACAAAGTATTAAAACGGTAAGAAACAATATTAGTGGAATAAAAAACCCAACAATGATCACCGAGAATGAACCCCAAGAAGGCAGTAAACAGAAACCTCTCATAACCTTTTTTTGGAAATGAATCATACGAAAGTATTATAAAGACCAATTTTTTTCCCAACCGTGACCACTTTAAGGTGTCCATGAGTCATTAAGGAGCCGAGGTTGCCTGCCCCTGTTCTAAGTGAAGCATATTGCAAGCGTATTATTGTTGTTGTTGTTGTTGCCTGAAATCTGCTCACATTCCTGTGAAGCTCCCAGCAAGACGATTCCTGCCCCGAGGGATGCTGGGAACTGTGGTTTCAGGCCACCCCCTCTTTCGCCGGGGATGAAGACCGCCGGGAGTTGTAGTCCAATCCAGTTTCCCGCCTCGGGTGGCGCTTTTTCTTCCGTCGTTTCCCAGCATGCTTTTCCTGGTCCCTCCCTCTGATTGGCCGCTGACCGTTAGCGGCGCAGGCGCAGTGCGAGTCCGGGCTGGAGCTGCTTCCTCGCAACCTTACGGAGCGTTCTGCTAAGCAAGCGGAGAGAGGCTGGAACGAGAACCCGGCAGCCACGGAGCAGAAGGGAGAAGGAGGCCGAGTAACCGCGCCAGGACAGCGGAGGGCTCGAGCCGGTGGTCCTCTGGTTCGCCGAGTCGCTTCGAACGCGTCGTCCTTCTCGGGCGTGAAGTCAAGGCGGCAGGGAGTGACGTCAGCGGCGCGGGAGTGACGTGATAGTACGGTAGGGAAAAGCGGTGGAATTTCCCGCGAGAGGAGGAGCACGGCGGAGCGGAGCGGGGCGCCGAGAGCGGAGGGGGAGCGGGAGGAGGGCGTGGCCTGGGCGAGGGCCCCCCCGGCCGAAAGAGCCGGTCCTGGCCGGGGGGGGCTGAGAGCTTTGGGGGGGGATAGAAGGAACGTTAAAGGACCATTTCAGGAGCTGCAGGAAGGAACGGGAGGGGGGCACCGGGGGCTGGGAGAGGCCGGGCTCCCCTTGGAAGGGCCGAGGAGGCGGATCCCAAGAGGCCCCCCCGGGGGAGGGGGAGGGGGGGTTGCAGGCTCTTGCAGACCCTTACTGGGATCCAAACCTTGTGGGGCTTATGCAGAAATGAGCTTGTCTTCACTTTTTACGAGAATGAATTTGTGAGTCTCCAAAGTGTTGACAGTGACAAATAACCAGGCTCTGCTTAAGACAGGAGTGGCGCAACTTTTGCCCCATGGTCCAACTCTGTGGTCTTTCTTTGTGGTCCAAGGAATCCTATTCTTTAAATCACTGGCAGAGAAGTAGAGTCACGAAATGCAAGCACTGTAGCAACAATAATAAATGGGATATATATATTTTTAAAAAGAATCTCCCCAAATTGAGGAAAAGATGCAGATATTCTGATGACTGTGTGAGTACGTGTCATGTCTTTATTCACTTTGTGATGTTGTTCTGCCAAAATAAGTGCAGCTTGCAGTTACAAGAACTCACCCAATCTGAGGTTATATTTCCTAGGTAACCAGTTGATCAATCAGTGATATTCTACAAGATGTGCCAGCAATAGGTACTAACTCGTGGAGAGACAGTTATTAAAATTGCCACTTGTTGGCTGTAACATTGCTGTTCCTTTGGCTGTTCCAGTTCTTATTTACTTTATTTGCATGTGTGCTGTTGGCTGACAGCGAATATTCATCCCAAAATAACACCGTTTATTTTTGTTTTACATAGAAACTGCTGAAAGTGGCTTTGAAGGCGAAGTACAATGAAGAACCAAGATGGCGAAAGCAAAGCTTCTCTTCCACCCCCCAGCCCTTGCAAAATAAGGGATGTTCTGGGGCCAGAAGATAGTGACTTACCTGAGGCTCCTGGGGGCATTGCAGGAAGTGGAGATTGTCACCACCAACTTGGCCTCTCTGGCTTCAAACACTTTGCTGATGATAGGCTTGAAATGCCAGTGAATGAGGAGCAGAGGAAGAAAGAAGAGGGTGTGTTTCCCCTGAGATTCACTAGTTTTATTTCTCTTTAAATGTGGGGCACTACCATCATTTGAGAGAATGATTCTTACTCTATCCTTAACTAATTCTCTCAAGAGCTGTTTTCATTTGTTTTTTTCCTCTTTGGAATTCTCCCCTCTTAATGTTGAATGGTGCTTTCTACCATCTGCAGCAGATCAGGCAGAGGAGGCTGTGCCTTGCCAGCCAGTCCCGGATGTTTCTGAAGAGCTGAGCAGACAGCTGGAAGACATTCTGAGCACTTATTGCAGGGACTCCAACCAGGAAGCCCCTGGAGAGGACAACGGTCAGAATGAGCCTGTGGAGCTGGACGAGCCAGAGAAGTGCCGAAGCGAGTCTCCCCGGAACGGGGACCAGGAGCAAAGCTGCCCTGAGATAAACGGCGAGAAAGAGGGTCCCAGGGGAATCAGCGATGAGAGCGGAGAGCGTGACCACAAACGCGTCCAGGAGAAAAAGAAGCCCAGAGGGCTTGGTAGGAAGTTCTCTGCTGATGGGCCTACATTCCCTTTGTTCTTCCATCATCTCGGCCTTAGCCGTTGTTAGTCTTGGAAGGGGCAACCCATGTTAAATCATTTGGGGTGATTTTTGGCATCTCACGACTCACCTACCTCTTAAGGAGGTTGTTGTGTAACTAAAATATGGGGAGGCTCCCAGCTACCTTACCTCAAGTGATTATAACAGTCTATAACTGGAATGTGTTTAGTTTTATTTCCCACGTTCTAGAGGCTTTTTCGTACCCGAGAGGCTGCTGTTTCCAGCTCTCTAATGCTGCCCTGCCACCATGTCTTTGTGCTTGCTCTGAATGAGCCTTTGCTTTGCTTCCAGGCAAGGAGATCACTCTTCTGATGCAGACCCTCAACACCCTCAGTACGTCTGAGGAGAAGCTGGCAGCCCTCTGCAAGAAATACGCGGAACTGGTCAGTGCCTGGCATGGGTGGAGAGGCGACTCGGCAGACTGGAGAATCTCCTCTGCTGTCATGCGGGCAGGGCAACGGGTGGTCCAGGGGGAGTTGGATGCCTTCAGGTCATCTTCACTCAGCTGCAGCTGCAAAAGATAAAAGAATCCTC